TAGCTTAAGTTCGATGCTTGCTATTTCTCTGACCAGTGTTTCCCTACGCATTTCAGATATATTGACCTCTTTTAGCCGCTCTGTTATTCTTTTCCGTCGCATGTAAAGGGAGCGCCTGTCTTTCTATTTTACATCTACTCCTCCTTTTTCTTAGAGGAATGAGCCTTGTGCATACATAGTGCCACCAAGTTAATCTGTTCTAGGCCTAAGTTGGGGTCTGTGTTGCTTAGTATATCTTCCTAGCTTAGTAAGTAAGTTTATTCAGGTATACACAAATACAGTTACATAGAATTATCATACATAGCAGCATATGTGTAGAGAACCTAGGATAGGTTAGGACGTGGTTTACTTGGTCCCACTTTGTTTTTGTTATTGAAGTTGAATTTGGTGAATGCTCCCTTGTGACTAATCTCATTATGTCGGTCTGGGGCTCCGCGCATACATGTCTGAACCTCAATTATGTTGTGATGAGTATATTATTTTTGATATGGTGACATTTCTTATCAGATCATCATTGTTAGTGAAGATAGGTCTAGTGTATTCTCCAGTCTAGTAGGCTCTTATTTGCTGGTTTAAATTGAATTTTGTGTAGAGATTTAAAAGCTCGTGTGAGTGTGAGTTTTCACCAGACCTACCTCCTGGTGTTATTACTGCAACAATATTATTTGCTATATTCCTCCATTTTAGGTGCCTTAAGTTGAAATCCCCAGGAGCAAGATGTTGGGTACAGGAGCTGGAAGATTTTCCAGACAGTGGTCAATTTTTAACAGCTGTTCCTGGAATTGCTGGGATGTTACATCTGGAGGCTTGTAGACTACCACAATGACTAGGTTTTGGTTCTCGACCTTTACTGCTAAAACTTCCACTACATCATTTGAGGCATTAAGCAGTTCTGTGCGAACAAGTGACTCTGCAATGTACAGGCCAACCCTCCCCCTTTTGCCTGTTCACTCTGTCACATCTGTATAGGTTGTAACCTGGGATCCATATTTCGTTGTCAGTGATCCTTTGTGGGTCTCAGTGAAAGCCGCGAACATTGCATTTGCCTCTGGAGTTTACCTGGCTCTGCAAGCAGTCCACGGATGAAAGCTATTTTGTTGTTTGTTGCTGGCTTTAGACCCTGTATATTTGCAAAGAAGAATGTCATCAGACTGGTGGTATTGTTGGTACTGGGGGGGGGGGATTTTTTTTCCGGCATTAGTATCTGTATCTGTTGGTTTGGAGTGGAGGCCATCGACTGTGGTTCCACTCCAGGAATGATGGATTTGGTGTACGATTTCTGCCATTTCCTGCCAGTTATTTTTCCTTCCTGGCACTAAAAAACCTCGCCCTCTTGTACAAGCGAGCGGCCCATGTCCTTTCGCATGCTATTTCATTACTTTTTAACAAGTCACTAGAAACTAGCACCTTCCCCGAAACTACTCAGGATGGCAAGGGTTACACCAATACATAAAGGTGGTGACCCTACAGATTTAAACAATTATAAGCCAATATCAAACTTACCATTGCTATCCAAAATCTTTGAGAAACTCGTGCACAGGAGACTATATTCATTTATAATGGCACAAAACATACTCGACCCCTTCCAATTTGGATTCAGGAAAAATAAAAGCACTAATGATGCAATTATAAAAATGCTAGATCTGCTTTACACAGCATTGGAAAATAAGGAATATCCACTAGGAATTTTTATTGACCTAAGAGCTGTATAATCCTCCGGGTTTAGCGCTTCCCCCTTGATTATAATAATAATAATATTGACCTAAGAAAAGCTTTGGACACAGTAGACCACGGCATCCTACTCCACAAACTTGACCATTATGGTATAAGAGGCCATGCGCTTTCATATTTCAAATCTTACCTTACTAATAGGTATCAGTATGTCACCATTAAAGACACAGCATCAACAACACAGCCACTTGATACTGGAGTTCTGCAGGGAAGTGTCCTTGGTCCCCTGCTCTTCCTCATATACATCAATGATCTTCCAAACGTATCCCAACACCTGAACCCCATTCTCTTTGCTGACGACACGACTTATGTCATCTCTCACCCTAATATTGCCACCCTCAACACCAAAATATCGACTTGGATGACAGCCAATAAACTTAAGCTTAACTATGACAAAACCTACTATATTATGTTTGGTAGCAGAGCAGGAGTTGCATAAATTAACATTAAGATCGACAGCTATATAGCCCTTGTGGCTTAGCGCTTCTTTTTTATTATAATAATATTAAGATCGACAACACTCTAATTGCCAGACATAATGAGGGCAAATTCCTAGGCCTATACCTCGACAACAACCTGAATTTCAGCACCCATATCGAACACATGACCAAAAAGTATCCAAAACGGTTGGGATCCTGTCCAAGATACGATACTACGTGCCGGAAAATGCCCTTCTCACACTATACCACTCGCTTATTTATCCATACCTCACCAGTGCTATTTGTGCTTGGGGACCCCTCATGGAAGGTTCCTTGATGTTGGTGAGGGGCTCTTGATTTAGGGAATTGAATCTGTGCTCCAGTTCCCCAAATTAAGCCTGAATGCCTTCCACATCCCCCCCTGGGCGCTGTATAATCCTACGGGTTTAGCGCTTCCCCCTTGATTATAATAATAATAATGTGCTTGGGGATCAACTGCAGTAACACACCTAAAGCCAATAGTAACCCAACAAAAAGTCGCAGTAAGAATAATCACTAAATCCCATCCCTGGCAACACCCCCCCCCCCACTCTTCATAGCTCTAAACTTACTCCCTGTTCAGTACATCCACACTTACTACTGTGCAATCTACATCTACAGGACCTTAAACTCAAATATTAACCTTGACCTAAAATGCTTTCTTGATAGTTATGACAGAACCTACAGGCATAACACCAGACACAAACATCTCTATGACATTCCCTGTGTCCGACTTAACCTTTACAAAAATTCAATGTATGTCAAAGGCCCTAAAATCTGGAACACCCTACCTGAAAACTGTAGAACTGCAGACACATTCATCACCTTCAAAACTACCATTAGAAAACATCTTATCTCCCTGATACACCCTGTCAACTAATTACAGGAATACCACCTGGTGGTTCACACTTACACTCACTCACCCAGTTGACCATAAACAGAAATATCAATCTCAGTCTTAAAATAATGAATCCTAACTAGTCATAATTTGGCCTGTGATACTCCAATACTGAAACTATGTATTGTGCCAAAACAAAAGCATTCACATTGCTAAACTCACTTAGCCATAATACCAGCTTACCTCATAATTTGTAATATTTTAAATTTAAGAGCAGCGCTGTATAGCCCTTGTGGCTTAGCGCTTCTTTTTGATTATAATAATAATATAATAATAATAATAATTTAAATTTAAGAATTAATCTGTCTGCCCGAAATGCCTAGCCATGCTAGGTGTTCTAGTGGCACCCTCTGTAATTAGTATTTTACTACATGTAAACCACACAATAACCAAATTCTGTAAACTCAGCATTGTAATCCTTATAGAGAATAAACTTTGAATTGAATTGAATAATAGTATTTATTATTTTTTGTATGACCCTTGTAGGTTTAATGCTTCATTTTTATTATATCATTATTTTTATTATGACAGCTATGACCAATTTTATTTTAGTGATAATAAGCAATACTTTTTTTTAAGCCGTATTCCTTTTCTGTACTGTGGACAACTAAACGAAGAAATTGTAAAAAAAAAAAAATATAGTGGTCTCCCTGGAGTTTATTTACCTGGAGAGGGTTTCGGGGGTCAACGCCCCCGCGGCCCGGTCTGAGACCAGGCCTCATGGTGGAGCAGGGTCTGATCAACCAGGCTGTTACTGTTGGCCGCGCACAAACTGACGAACGAACCACAGCCCGGTTGGTTAGGTACTGACTTTAAGTGCCTGTCCAGTGCCTTATTGAAGACAGCCAGGTGTCTATTGGTAATCCCCCTTATGTATGCTGGGAGGCAGTTGAACAGTCTTGGGGCCCCGGATACTTATTGTGTTGTCTCGCAGTGTACTCGTGGCGCCCCTGCTTTTCACTGAGAGAATGTTGCATCTCCTGCCGAGTCTTGCTTTCATAGGAAGTGATTTTCGTGTGCAAGTTTGGTACTAATCCCTCTAGGATTTTCCAAGTGTATATTATTATACATCTCTCGCCTGCGCTACAGGGAATAGATAACGGGCCTTCAACCGTTCCCAGTAATTTAGGTGCCTTATCGTAATTGTGTGCCGTGAAAGTTATTTGTACACTCTCCAGGTTAGCAATTTCTCCTGCCTTGAAGGGGGCAGTTAGTGTACAGCAATATTCCAGCCTAGAGAGAACAAGCGATTTGAAGAGAATCGTCATGGGCCTGGCATCTCTAGTTTTGAAGGTTCTCATTATCCCTCCTATCATTTTACTAACAGATGAGGTAGATTATTATCAAAAAGGAGCGCTAAATCTACAAGGGTCATACAGAGCCATGCGGTAGATACATTGGTTACAATATATCATCTTTCATTGTTTTCCTCATTGTACTGTAAACAGGAAATATATGAAGAAATTGTAAAGTACGAAATGACTAATTCTTTTCTAGTGATGTAACAATGCTAGTGGGGACTGGTAAACACCCATTGTGACGGGTGCGCATTAAACTAGCCGTTCAAGTTACACAACTACTGCAAGTTTATTTAGGTATTGGTACACACAAATAGTTACAGAAATATAGGTGACTATAATTAACATGTGTGGATTACCTAGGATAACCCAGAAAGTCAGACGAAGTGACTTATTTCCATGGATGATAGTGGATGTGTGTGTACCAATACTTTCTTAATGTAAACTACAGTTTGTATGCCACACAAAGAAATAAAAATTTGAATTGGGGTCCTTGAGCTGAGTATGCTACCAACTGAGCCAGGGTGTGTTGGAACTTATTCAGTCCGAGAAGTCCCAACGGGGAAAAACACACCGTTCGAGGGCCCTTACACCCACCCAAAACACAAACACACTCCCCCGAGTTGGCGAAGGTGGTAGGAGAGTACTTCTTAATTGATAGATTTACCTTTCAGGGAAGAAGTAGGTAGCTTATACTGTTAGTACACTAATATTAGGATTATTGAGACAACTGTAAATAATAATGTAGGCCTAAGACCTTAAGATAGGTAGTAATAGGCCGAATGTAGGCAAACACCAAAAGGTGTCTGATGAATGTAGCTACAGAAAGGGAGGGGAATGATTTTCTATTTTTTTAGCTAACATACGTGTAAATTTTACCATATTCCTAGTAATGACCCTCGTGTAGTAGATAGTCTTAATGACCCTCGTGTAGTAGATAGTCTTAATGACCCTCGTGTAGTAGATAGTCTTTTTAGTATGATAATAAGATGTTATCTTCATTGTAGAATAATAAGAAGATATAACCTCTTATATGGGTGTGAAGCGTGGGTGATGAATGTTGCAGCGAGGAGAAGGCTGGAGGCAGTGGAGATGTCATGTCTGAGGGCAATGTGTGGTGTGAATATAATGCAGAGAATTCGTAGTTTGGAAGTTAGGAGGAGGTGCGGGATTACCAAAACTGTTGTCCAGAGGGCTGAGGAAGGGTTGTTGAGGTGGTTCGGACATGTAGAGAGAATGGAGCGAAACAGAATGACTTCAAGAGTGTATCAGTCTGTAGTGGAAGGAAGGCGGGGTAGGGGTCGGCCTAGGAAAGGTTGGAGGGAGGGGGTAAAGGAGGTTTTGTGTGCGAGGGGCTTGGACTTCCAGCAGGCATGCATGAGCGTGTTTGATAGGAGTGAATGGAGACAAATGGTTTTTAATACTTGACGTGCTGTTGGAGTGTGAGCAAAGTAACATTTATGAAGGGATTCAGGGAAACCGGCAGGCCGGACTTGAGTCCTGGAGATGGGAAGTACAGTGCCTGCACTCTGAAGGAGGGGTGTTAATGTTGCAGTTTAAAAACTGTAGTGTAAAGCACCCTTCTGGGAAGACAGTGATGGAGTGAATGATGGTGAAAGTTTTTCTTTTTCGGGCCACCCTGCCTTGGTGGGAATCGGCCAGTGTGATAATAAATAATTATAATAATAAGGTAAAAGGACCCCAATGGAAATAAGTCACTCTGTCTGACTTTTTTGGGTTATCCTAGGTTCTCTACACATATGCTGCTATGTATGATAATTCTATGTAACTGTATTTGTGTATACCTGAATAAACTTACTTACTTACTTACACTAGGTTATGTTAGCTAGGGAGAACTGGCAGCCCAAGTTTGAACGACGAGGCGCGGGTCTCGAAGACGCCAGAGCTTCCTTCTAAGACTAGACACCATCTGAACAACACGTGCCGTGATCAGCAGGCGGCGCCCCCCACCTGTCTTCACATATTAGACCTGGGGAAATCTGGTGGAGGCACCTCGATGTACCGTATATGACCTCCGTCAGGCCCATACAGTAAGACAAGACCTCCACTCTTTCTTAGGATTCTGGCCAGTGTCTGGGGAAAGTTGCGAGTGAGTTGAGCTGTAGGTCTTTATGCAGCTGGCAGTGCATGCCCAGTATGTACCAGTGTCTCTTGTCAACCTAGAAGCTAGTGTCACTTTCTGCATAGTATTCTAGGGGATTCACCCCCCCCCTTGGAAATAGGAATTTCTGAGGTTACCTGGAGGTTATTCCGGGGATCAACGCCCCCGCGGCCCGGTCCATGACCAGGCCTCCCGATGGATCAGGGCCTGATCAACTAGGCTGTTACTGCTGGCCGCACGCAGTCCGACGTACGAGCCACAGCCCGGCTGATCCGGCACTGACTTTAGGTATCTGTCCAGCTCTCTCTTGAAGGCAGCCAGGGGTTTATTGGCAATTCCCCTAATGCTTGATGGGAGGCTGTTGAACAGTTTTGGGCCCCGGACACTTATGGTGTTTTCTCTTAGTGTACCAATGGCGCCCCTACTTTTCATTGGCGGCACCTTGCATTGCCTGCCCAGTCTTTTACTTTCGTAGGGAGTGATTTCTGTGTGCAGATTTGGGACCATTCCTTCCAAGATTTTCCAAGTGTAGATTATGATATATCTCTCCCTCCTGCGTTCCAACGAGTACAAGTCAAGTGCTTCCAAGCGTTCCCAGTAGTTAAGGTGCAGACAGGTCACTAATAACGATTGAATATTGCAGGAATTAAGGCTCCCGGTTGCACGTGGTTTCTGAGGGGAAGTCCAAAGGGGCTAAGCTTAGGGAGGTGGAAGACCAGAATAGATTCTACATCACCAAGTAAGTTAGTCCTTTAAACGTGCATGCAGGCGAGATTTCTTGCAACATAAGTCATTTATGAAAATCTGTCCTATAAGCCACTTGTGAGGTGAGGTACCGACCTCAGAGCTCGGTGTCAACAGAGCTTGCCAAGGTAGGCGACTCACTTGGAGGCAGTCCAGACAAATTTTCACAGGGTGCTTTCTATATAGTATTCCTCCCTAGTGGCCCCTCAAGGAAGGTTCCTTGATGCTGGTGAGGGGCTCTTGATTTAGGGAATTGGATCTGTGCTCCGGATCCCTGAATTGAACCTAGGTACCTTCCATCCCCCAACATGGGCTGTATAATCCTACAGATTTAGAGCTCCCTATTATAATAATAATCCTCCCTAGTGGGTTTAGCGCTTGTTTTATATTATAATATTATACACTATTCCAATGATGTCAGCTACATCTGTATCAGGTGTATCATGTACTTGAAGACATAAAGATGATGATTATAATGTGTGAGGTGTGCGAGGCCTCAGGTACATCCTCGCCCTTTCACCCAACAATAACATTAATTTGAGTGAGCTAAGATTTGTACCGGAGTGTGAGCGAAGTTATGTTTATGTAAGTTTATTCAGGTACAAGTACACACAAATACAGTTACAGAAATTATCATACATAAAAAGCATATGTGTGGACTACCTAGGATAACCCTCAAAAAAAGTCAGCGACTTATTTCCTTTGGGATCCTTGTAATATCTTATTGTTTAAACCTTAAAAGTTAAAGCAGCTAAGTAACTCACGAGTAGTTCTAGTCGGGACGTTAGAGAGAAGACAGGTCAGGCTTGGTGCTCCTCCTTTAGTACTCACAATTATAAGTTACCAGCTGTATAGCCCTTGTGGCTTAGCGCTTCTTTTTGATTATAATAATCATGTAAGTTACCAACCGTCCGATGTGTGTGTTTTTACCCACTTCCAGCATTTGAGGTCCACACGACACACACATGTATAGTACATGTTAATTTAACCAATAAAGATAAGATTAAGGTTTATTACTCTGTAAAGGTTACAATGTGTAATTACAGTTTTGGTTTGCTAAGTACAAAGAAAGTCACAATCATGCTGGGGGGGGTGCCTTGATGTCAGTTAAGGGTTCTTGATTTTAGAAATTGGAGCCTTGATGTCAATTAAGGTTTCTTGATCTTAGAAATTGGAGCCTTCAAGAATGGTAGGTGCCTTGATGTCAGTTAAGGATTCTTGGTCTTATAAATTGGGGCCTTCAAGAGAGGAAGGCTCCTTGATGTCAGTTCTTTATTTTAGAAATTGGAACCTTGGTGCTAGTGAGAGGAGCTCTTGATTCAAGGAATTGGCCTTAGTCTCTTTTCTTAGATCAAACCTGAATGTCCCCTCTATGGTTTTTGCACTGATTAATAAGTAAATAGAGAATTGGAGCTACTCTTGCCTTCATGGGATCTTCCCTGATTACCTCCTTTACCCAAAAACTGTACATGTGTAACCAAAATGGGTTTAGCACTCTTCCATGAGTATACTCTTCAAGGAGCTTTTGATCTAAGGAATTAGACTTGTTCCCCTCTTAAATTGAGACAGATGCTGTATAACTCCTATGGGTTTAGTGCTTCCCCATAAATAATACTATGTATAAATTTCTCATGAGTATAATGATTATCAAAAAGGGGCTGAGAATTCCTCAGAAACCAGATAAAAGTCGCATTGACTTTATTGGGTTATTTTATATGTCCATAACGTGTGTTCCCCAAGACCATTATAAAAAATTTGTTATGTATGCAATATGTAAATAAATTTTCCTTATTCTCTCATTTGTACAGTGACTCAAATTTTTCAAGTTTTTGTTTATATTAGACACTTTACCCAGGTATTTCTTTCTTGAAAGCATTTTTTCCCATTCTTTACAGTTAGTGCAGTGTATTGCTTGTAGTAATGTTGAGCCATTGCACTCGATATGCAAGAAATTCTTCTGTGAGCTATTTGCAAGATCATGTTCAAAAAGTCTTTCAACAAATATTACCTCTCACTAGCACCTGTCTGACAAGAAGCTCCAGAAGAGGAATATCGGACAACATAATAGATGAGCAGGGTAAAAATGGTACTTTGACAAAATTTTTCAGTTTTCATTGAATTCTTTTGTGATATATTAAAGATATATGATATGTGATATATGAAAGAAATTATTCATATACAGTACAGTACTGCAATGCCTGGAGACACATTGCATTAAGAAAAATTCTTTAAAGTTCTTGAAATTTATAAATTTAAATTTTCTAGTCATTACCAGGTCGGTTATTTTTTCTGTCATTTAAATTTCTTTAAATGTCTTCCATGACTTTACTCCATTTTTATTTTTGCTTCTAATATTTTTGCAAAACCCTTGAAGTCAACTTCATATGCTGCTGTTTACCTTATTTTTTGTTGTGTGTGTTTACTTTATTATATGTGGTTAAATTAAGCTGATTTTTTTATGTATGAAAATTTCATTATAGGCACTGGCATTATAGGCATTTTTGTAGTTCGCTGCAATCAGTTATAGTGAGACAGGTTGCGAATGACAAATGGTTATTTACAAAAGAATTACATAGTACAGTATTTACATTGGTTTAGTGATCTATATTCCATGGAGTGATTGAAGAGAGGTGGTAAAATCAGTCATGACAATTTATTGTTAATGGATGTTACATTTATGTGAGATTTAATTGGTACTTTTTGACAATATTAGTAAAGATGTTGGCAGATGGGGAACTTTTGTCATTTTGGGGCAGTGAATTGGTGGTGGGGGGTTTATGTCAGGTTCAGTGTCTCCTAACATGAGCCTTAATCAGCCTTAATCCAGCCTTAATCCAACCCATATCCAACACATAACTAAAAAAGTATCCAAAACGGTTGGGATCCTCTCCAAGATACGATACTACATGCCGCAAAATGCCCTTCTCACACTATACCACTCACTTATTTATCCATACCTCACCTATGCTATTTGTGCTTGGGGATCAACTGCAGCAACACACCTAAAGCCAATAATAACCCAACAAAAAGCCGCAGTAAGAATAATCACTAAATCCCATCCCTGGCAACACCCCCCCCCCACTCTTCACAGATCTAAACTTACTCCCTGTTCAGTACATCCACACTTACTACTGTGCAATCTACATCTGCAGGACCTTAAATTCCAATATTAACCTTGACCTAAAACGCTTTCTTGATAGTTGTGACAGAACCCACAGGCATAACACCAGACACAAACATCTCTATGACATTCCCCATGTCCGACTAAACCTTTACAAAAATTCAATGTATGTCAAAGGCCCTAAAATCTGGAACACCCTACCTGAAAACTCTAGAACTGCAGACACATTCAACACCTTCAAAACTACCATTAGAAAACATCTTATCTCCCTGAATCACCCTGTCAACTAATTACACGAATACCACCTCGTGGTTCACACTTACACTCACTCACTCACCCAGTTGACCATAAACAGAAATATCAATCTCAATCTTAAAATAATGAATCCTAACTAGTCATAAGTTGGCCTGTGATACTCCAATACTGAAACTATGTATTGTGCCAAAACAAAAGTATTCACATTGCTAAACTCACAAACTAGTATTTAGTCACTTAGTCATAATACCAACTTACCTCATAATTTGTAATATTTTAAATTTAAAATTAATCTAAGTCTGCCCGAAATGCCTAGCCATGCTAGGTGTTCTAGTGGCACCCTCTGTAATTAGTACTTTACTACATGTAAACCACACAATAACCAAATTCTGTAAACTCAGCATTGTAATCCTTATAGAGAATAAACTTTGAATTTGAATTTGATGACCCATTAACTGGTTATGCATCTTCTGGCTCACTGGAGCTAGGTTCAACAGCCCATTAAAAAAAAATGAATACAACATTGTAGTGTATCCCAAGATGCAAAATTATCCTTTTTAATATCTTCTGGTTCTGGAAGATGGCACCTAAGCTAAACACTGACAGTACAGTAGCACAGGAATAACTTATTTGTGACAGCAGTAATTGCAGTTCCTGTATTACCTCTCTACATATGGATGTGACTTGATATGCTCTTGACAAGCAAATGGGCTCCATAGACTGGTGCTGAAAGAGTTTTATTCTTACCACTTTGTTGACTGGTGTCGCTTAGATGCTGACATGAACGCTGAATTGTAGTTGATATTTCTCTGTTTTAATTTTATTTAGTTATTACAATGTAAGTTAAAATATTTGTGAATGATGCAGAAAATTTTATGAAAAATAATTTATGAAAGGGCCTGCAAATCTCTTCAAGAGCCTTGATAAATTGAGCAAATATTGTACAGTTGAGTGGTAGAATTTAATATAGACTAGTATGTGGCATTTTGTACAAATCACTTGTTTTTAATAGTACATATTGTATTACTATTATTACTGCATAAAGTATTGTATTTCTGACATACAATAATTACTAAATATACGTATTTTTATGTCTGTTTTGGGGGATTAGTGTTAACCTTTAGTTTATGTATTGTATTTTACAGATAAAACAGATGAATGCAAAGCAACAGAAAATAAATCAAGTAATGAGCCATTTGGTAAAGAATCTCCAAAACAATTGTTGGAGAATGCTTCTACCTTTGAAGACTTGCCTTACAGTCCAGATGATGTGTGGACACAAGGTCCCTATCCTCACAAAAGCAGTTATAAGTAAGACGATAAATACTAGCATTGTGTGTGCATTTTTTTTAATATTTAACCCATTCTGTGCTACAGTGTATGACCTAATATATCTTCACTGCATTCAGCAATCTTGCATGCTAATTATCCTACTGGATCTTTTATAACCATTTTTGCAGTGTATTATTCTGTATTACTCATTAAGACTCTGGGGGTATAATTTAGACCTATTGGACAATACTGTATATTCTAAACCTTCGGCTTCTTTCTGCTGTTTTGACAAAGAAAGCACTATCATTCATATTTTTTTTTCATCTTTTAGTTCCAATGTACTTTAGTCTGATTTCAGCAGAAATTTTGGACTTAACCCTTTCAGGGTCCAAGGCCAAAATCTGAAGTGGTGCCCCAGTGTCCAAGAATTTTCAAAAAAAAAAAAATTTTATTTTTTCTTATGAAATGGTAGAGAATCTTTTTGTGAATGTAATAAAACAAAAAGTATGAAATTTGATGGAAAATTGACGAAATTATGCTCTCGTGAATTTTGATGTGTCAGCGATATTTACGAATCGGTGATTTTGCCGAATCTGACTCCCATTTTAGGCCCATTACATTATTCCAGTCGACCAAATTCTTAGCTATTTCACTAGTATTACTTCTATTCTATCGATTGAGCACAAGAAATCGCCAAGTCAACTGTTTCAGCTACAAAATAAAGTGACCGGAAATTGGTAATTTGGCCAATTTAACACAAAGCTCAAAATATTCCAATTTCAAAATAGGGTCCAGAATAAACAATGTAGGTATTCCTGGCACTAAACTAACATTTCCTCTGTTCATTAGTTATATTTTGAGGCTTTACAAATAAATTCCATTTTGATTTTTTATTCACATAATGAATTTTTATTCACACCAAAAATTAGAAAATTTACTGTTATGCAATATTGTAATAATTGTATAAATATCATCACCACATTTGTGAATGTATATTAGACCCACCAGCTGGCGTGTATTAGACGTGTGAGGTCGTTTGTTTACTCTTGAACATCGGCAAAAATTTAACATTTCCGCCACTTTGAGCTCAGTTTCAAGCCATTTCCAGTGCTAAAACCAATTAAAATTATCTCTATTTCTGTAATATGTCTTCCATTCTATCAAATGAGACCAAGAAATCACAAATACAACTATAAAAAGCATACAAAAATACACTGCAAAGTCGCTGTTTTAATCGAAAACCACGGTCTCAGTTTTTTTTCTCTCATTATATACAGTGTGCTGCAGGATTTGTTTTATGTGGTGCACACATACCACATAGATGTATTCTCTCATATCTAGGCCCAAATTTACCACTCAGTTTATCAGAGTGAGCTGAGCTCATGACGTAGATCTACGGTTTGGACCCTGAACGTAAAGCCGTAGATCTACGGGACGGACCCTGAAAGGGTTAAAAATGGTTGCATGTTGATGTAGGAGGAGGGAAAGGTTGTGGGAGCTACGACCAAAGGCTTTGAGGTGTTTTAATGATGCAGATGGAATACTGGGTCTTTGTATTAGGATAATTTTCAAAAATCAAACTACTGCTTGAATGGTGTAAAAAGGCATAAACCTATGCTGGACTGGTGTACAGTACAAGAATGGCAAGAGTTGCATTAGGTGTAGATTTCCACTGAGCCTGAGGCTTGGGCACCTGGGCAGGCTTCAGTTTTCTGGTCAAGGGCCAAGTTCAAAGAATTTGCAAGCTGGCGAGTGTATATTTAAATATGTCCATATCTAAAAGGATGCTATAGGTTAAAGGACACCATTATAGTATTAAAAAGACCAGAGATCAGAGTTAGAGTATTACACCAGGTTGGTGGTGTGAAAGACAAGTATCCACCAGTAGCATGATGCACTGCTGAGTGAGACCTACAGGGAGTAAATAAAAATGAGATGTGATGATTTTGAGATGACATGGGAAGCCCTGCTTTGCAGAACTTTGGTGGTTCAACTCTGATGCATAGGGGTATACCAACCCTCTACCCCATAACATTGCAAAGCAGCTATTTCAGGGTATAAATTGAGAATACTATATACAGTATATAAATTTTAATTTGGTTATACAGTACTGCAATAACAATAATACAGTAGTTTAAATCTCATTAATACAAGTAATTAAATTTTAACAGAAAGCTAACACTTAATTTAAATTTTGTTCCTTAAATTAAGTATTTTTTCTTATTTCCTCTGTATTTGTTTACTGCAGGCAGAGTCAAGCTAAGCATTCTAAACGGCCCAAAGTTGACCCAAGAGAAACAACATTAATTTTATTTCCTGGACAAGGCACACAGTATGTAGGTAAGTCATGTGAAGTGTCTGAAATATGTTTTGGAATACATTTACTTCATTTAACAGCAACGTTAATCATTGTTACAGTGTCCCATGTCCTGGTGGCAAAAGCTCTCGCTTCACACAGTGAGGGTCTGGGTTCGATTCCTGGTGAAGGGGTGGAAACATTGGACATGCTTCCTTACATTGGTTGTCTATGTTCACCCATTAGTAAAATGGGTACTTGTGTGTTAATGTGGGTCGCATCCTGGGAGAAAACTGACCGAATTTGCTCGAAATACGTACTCAGCATAACAAGCGGCTTTCTATATGTAGTAGTATGTCACTGTTGTCAGCTAGGCCTGTATACCTTATACATGTACTTGTAGTAAATTAAGATATTATTTTTTTTTTTAATAAGTTGGCCGTCTCCCACCGAGGTAGGGTGGCCCAAAAAGAAAATACTTTCATCATCATTCAACACTTTCACCTCACTCACACATAATCACTGTTTTTGCAGAGGTGCCCAGAACACAACAGTTTAGAAGCATATATGTATAAAGATACACAAAATATATCCCTCCAAACTGCTAATATCCCGAAACCCCTCCTTTAGAATGCAGGCATTGTACTTCCCATTTCCAGGACTCGAGTCCATCTATATTAAAATAACCGGCTTCCCTGAATCCCTTCACTAAATATTGCCCTGCTCACACTCCAACAGATCGTCAGGTCCCAAATACCATTCGTCTCCATTCACTCCTATCAAACACGCTCATGCACGCCTGCTGGAAGTCCAAGCCCCTCACCCACAAAACCTCCCTTATCTTTTCCTTCCAACCTTTTTGAGGGCTACCCCTACCCCGCCTTCCTTCCCTTACAGATTTAAATGCTCTCCATGTCATTCTACTTTGATCCATTCTCTCTAAATAACCAAACCACCTCAACAACCCCTCTTCAGCCCTCTGACTAATACTTTTATTAACTTCACACCTTCTCCAAATTTTCTGCATAATATTTACACCACACATTGCCCTTAGACAGGACATCTCCACTGCCTCCAACCGCCTCCTCGCTGCTGCATTCACAACCCAAGCTTCACACCCATATAAGAGTGTTGGTACTACTATACTTTCATACATTCCCTTCTTTGCCTCCATAGATAACGTTTTTTTTCTCCACACATACCTCAACACACCACTCGCCTTTTTTCCCTCATCAATTCTATGATTAACCTCATCCTTCATAAATCCATCCGCCGACACGTCAACTCCCAAGTACAGTGGACCCCCGGTTCGCGATTCTATTGGTATCCGATAAATCCAGTATCCAATGCATTATATCGCAAAAATTTGCCTCGGTTCCCGTTACAAAACCCGGTATGCGATACGATTCATACGAGATGTATCCACATGTGGCCTGAACTGCCCGGTGTGTGCCAATGTTTACAAGCCAGCCAGTGTGCGCGCATCTAAGGATACATTCGGTACATTCCATATTATCCATATTATCACTGATTTTGGTGCTTGTTTCTGCAAAATAAGTCACCATGGGCCCCAAGAAAGCTTCTAGTGCCAACCCTGTGGTAAAAAGGGTGAGAATTAGTATAGAAATTAAGAAAGATTTTGAAGGGTTTGAGGCTAACCCTGAGAAGCCTATGCCAGTTGTGGAATCCATTGTGCCTACTTCAAAAATTAAGGAAATGTGTGCACAGTGGGTTGAACTGCAAACCTTTATGGATGAAAAATCACCCTAACACAGCTATTGCAAGCCGTGCTGGTGACTATTACACTGACAATGTTGTGAACCACTTTAGGAAAGTCATAAAGGAACGAGAGGTACAGGCCTCTATGGACAGATATGTTGTGTGACAGAAGTCCAGTGACTCAAGCTGGTCCTAGTGGCATTAAAAGAAGAAGGGAAGTAACCCCGGAAAAGGACTTGCTACCTCAAGTCCTAATGGAGGGGGATTCCCCTTCTAAACAATAGGTTCAACACTCTCCCCTCCTCCCATCCCATCAATCATCACCAGATCTTCATTAAAGGTAAGTGTCAATTATTCTATTGTTATTGTTGTTATTGTAATTATTCTGTTGCATTAAACTTAATATTTCATGTGGTAAAAGTTTTTTTTTTCATACTTTTGGGTGTCTTGCACGGATTAATTTGATTTCCAATATTTCTTGTGGGGAAAATTGATTCGCTTTCCGATAATTTTGGTTTATGATGAGCTCTCAGGAATGGATTAATATCGCGAACCTGGGGTCCACTGTATCTGAAAACATTCACTTCACTCCTCCTCCCCAATTTGATATCCAATTTTTCTTAATCTAAATCATTTGATACCCTCATCACCTTACTCTTTTCTATGTTCACTTTCAACTTTCTACCTTTACACACACTCCCAAACTCATCCACTAACCTTTGCAATTTTTCTTTAGAATCTCCCATAAGCACAGTATCATCAGTAAAAAGCAACTGTGTCAATTCCCATTTTGTATTTGATTCCCCATAATTTAATCCCATCCCTCTCCCTAACACCCTACTTGGAGTCTACCTGGAGGGCATTCTGGGGATCAACGTTCCCACGGCCTGGTCCACGACCAGGCCTCCCGGTGGATCAGGGCCTGATCAACGAGGCTGTTACTGTTGGCCGCACGTAATCCAACGTACGAACCACAGCCCGGCTGATCCGGCACCGTCTTTAGGTATCTGTCCAGCTCCCTCTTGAAGACAACCAGGGGTCTTCCCGTAGTGCCCCTTATTGCTGGTGGGAGGCTGTTGAACAGTCTTGGGCCCTGGGCACTTATTGTGTTTTCTCTTAGTGTGCCAGTGACGCCCCTACTTTTCACTGGGGTATGTTGCATTGCCTTCCAAGTCTTTTGCTTTCGTATGGAGTGATTGCTGTGTGCATATTAGGGACCAGTCCCTAGTATTTACTTTTTTTACAACCCCATCTATAAATATATTAAACAACCATGGTGACACTACACATCCCTGTCTAAGACCTACTTTTACCAGGAAGTAGTCTCCCTCTCTTCTACACACCCTCGGTATACGTCCGCTTTGGAATAAATCCAACTTGGTATACATCCTGTTTGTACGCAAAAATTTTTGCTTGGTATATGACCTTTGTTTGGAATATGACTTGCGTGCTAGAACTTTTGTGGTTCAAAATGAGTCACGACACCATGCGCTACCCTTGTTTACCTCTCTCTCGAGACAAAGCCATGACTGCCCACTAGCGTCAGTACTACTATTGCTACCATTCAGTGAACAACCCGTGCTGTAACTCTGTGAATTTTCACGTGATTTTATGTTTTTCGTAGAAATTTTTTGTAAATTCATTAATCATGAGTTCTAAGAAAGTTAATGAGAAGAGCCAAACAATAACATTTCCTCCTCCTCCCTTCTCAGCACTATCCCAGTAGGCATTCAACTCTTTTCAGCAAAGTAAAGTGAGGTTAAATCTGCATTTATTTCATCTAATTCTTTTGTATTTATGTATATATTTTAGTATTAAGCAGTGTTTAAATTACATATTTCAGTATTAAGCAGTGTTTAAATTACATATTTTAGTATTAAGCATTGTTTAAATTATTTTATACAACCCCCATCAATGCCAATAACAATAGGATTATTTTTTCATGGGAACTGATTAATCGTTTTCCCTATATTTCTTAAGGGAAAATTCGTTTGGTGTACATCCTGTTTGGTATAAGTCCAAGGTCTTGGAACACATTAAGGATGTATACTGAGGTTCCACTGTGTTATTGTTATTATTATTATAATCTTATTTTTCTTATATGTACTGTACAGGCACACTGTACTTATTTGTAGCTATAGGACAATACTTCTGATTATAGTGTTTTCATTATTTAGTTATTCATATATATTTTTAATGTTCGTAGTACACTATTTTCTCCTTGATAATTTTCCAGCAGTCTACCATACAATTTTTGGTACATATTTGAGATTTTTTGTAGTTTGCCATTGTCACCTCCTGTGTTGCTGTTGATGCTGCTATGAAGCCAGTATTATTTTTTTTCAAGTATGTACTTTCATGGTTATACAATGTCTTTATAAGTTGTTTTTTTTTTTTTACCATACCTTCATAACTCATTTTACTTATCTCTGGAAGCCATTTTGTAGCATGTTTCCATTTTTTCTGTTTTATCTATGGCCAAACCCCACTAAATAGCTACTGTATGTAGCAAGTTGCCTACCACAGTAATGTTCCAACAGTAAAAATGTTTAAAAATCACCAGATGGGCTGCTAGGTTTTCAAATTTTGGAGGTAGGAAGTGAAATGTCTACCCTGTAAGCTAGATGCAGATGTTACAGTCAAGGGATCACTGTCAGTTCATGCCTGTGTTCTGTAAAGATAACTAGGGGTATATTTTGGTGAATGTATTTTTGTTTTTTGAGTCATCTTTCCTTGTTGGCAAATAGTTTGTGTATTATAAATTTTTATAATATATACATTTAACTAGAGAATTAATTTTAAGCATATTTAATAATCAAAATAATGCATTTCAGGAATGGGAAAAGAATTGTTAAAATACCCTAATGTTCAAGAAATGTACAAATGTGCATCTCAAATACTCGGCTATGATCTCTTGGAACTTAGCCTGAATGGTCCTCTTCAGAAGCTGAGCAAAACCATACATCAGCAACCTGCTGTTGTTGTTGCTTCATTAGCTGCAATTGAAAAGTAAGTAGTATGAGAGTAGAAAATAGGCGAGCTTGCCAATATGTTGGAAAACACCCAAATTGGAGAAAACTGATGTGTTGTTACAATGTACCTCAAACAGCACTGCTTACATTATGCTCTAATTTATTTCTACCACAACACTGCTGTTTGTGCCTGGGGATCCACTGCAACAAATAACAAAAAGTGCTGTATGAATGGTCATTTAGTCTACTACAGGACAACACACTCCCTCACTCTTTGAAAGTCTAAACTTATTAATACATGCACACATAAAATTCACTCATATTAATGTGCATACTACATACACAGGATAATAAACTCTAAAATCGGTCCTGCCTTGAGACTCTTTCTTGAGAGTTGCAACAGAACTCGCATACAAAATACTAGACAAAAATCTCTTCAATATTCCCCACATCTGGATCAACCTATGTAAAAACTCGATGTGCATAAAAGGACCTAAAATTTGTATTTGTCTGCTTGCAACCTCCAGTCTCTCCCTGTCTGTCAGCCATTTCAAAGCTACTGTTAAAAAAACAGCTTCTTTCCTTAATGTGATCCTAACAACAATAATCATACTGAACAATTCTCATCCTGTGTTGTCCCTATCCTTGTTTGTCATTCCTTCAACTCATTTACTGAGCTTCATCCTTAATTTATCACCGATTAATTTTTTTAAGTTGGATTACTAAATTTTTTTTTTTTTTTTCAACAAGTCGGCCGTCTCCCACCGAGGCAGGGTGACCCAAAAAAGAAAGAAAATCCCCAAAAAGAAAATACTTTCATCATCATTCAACACTTTCACCACACTCACACATTATCATTGTTTCTGCAGAGGTGCTCAGAATACAACAGTTTAGAAGCATATACATATAAAGATACACAACATATCCCTCCAAACTGCCAATATCCCAAACCCCTCCTTTAAAGTGCAGGCATTGTGCTTCCCATTTCCAGGACTCAAGTCCGACTATATGAAAATAACCGGTTTCCCTGAATTCCTTCACTAAACATTACCCTGCTCACACTCCAACAGATCATCAGGTCCCAAGTAACATTCGTCTCCATTCACTCTTATCTAACACGCTCATGCACGCTTGCTGGAAGTCCAAGCCCCTCGCCCACAAAACCTCCTTTACCCCCTCTCTCCAACCCTTTCGAGGATGACCCCTACCCCGCCTTCCTTCCCCTATAGATTTATATGCTTTCCATGTCATTCTACTTTGATCCATTCTCTCTAAATGACCAAACCACCTCAACAACCCCTCTTCTGCCTACTTTTATTAACTCCACACTTTTTCCTAATTTCCACACTCCGAATTTTCTGCATAATATTTACACCAGACATTGCCCTTAAACAGGACATCTCCACTGCCTCCAACCGTCTCCTCGCTGCTGCATTTACCACCCAAGCTCACACCCATATAAAAGTGTTGGTACTACTATACTTTCATACATTCCCTTCTTTGTCTCCATAGATAACGTTTTTTGACTCCACATATACCTCAATGCGCCACTCACCTTTTTTCCCTCATCATTTCTATGATTAACCTCATCCTTCATAAATCCATCCACTGACACGTCAACTCCCAAGTATCTGAAAACATTCACTTCTTCCATACTCCTCCTCCCCAATTTGATAACCAATTTTTCTTTATCTAAATCATTTGATACCCTCATCACCTTACTCTTTTCTATGCTCACTTTCAACTTTCTCCCTTTACACACATTCCCAAACTCATCCACTAACCTTTGCAATTTTTCTTTAGAATCTCCCATAACCACAGTATCATCAGCAAAAAGTAACTGTGTCAATTCCCATTTTGAATTTGATTCCCCAAAATTTAATCCCACCCCTCTCCCGAACACCCTAGCATTTACATCCTTTACAACCCCATCTATAAATATATTAAACAACCATGGTGACATTACACATCCCTGTCTAAGACCTACTTTTACCGGGAAGTAGTCTACCTCTCTTCTACACACCCTAACCTGAGCCTCACTATCCTCATAAAAACTCTTTACAGCATTTAATAACTTACCACCTATTCTATATACTTGCAACATCTGCCACATTGCTCCTCTATCCACTCTATCATATGCCTTTTCTAAATCCATAAATGCAATAAAACTTTTCTAAATCCATAAATGCAATAAAAACTTCCCTACCTTTATCTAAATACTGTTCACATATATGCTTCAATGTAAACACTTGATCTACACATCCCCTACCCACTCTGAAACCTCCTTGCTCATCCGCAATCCTACATTCTGTCTTGCCTCTAATTCTTTCAATTATAACCCTACCGTACACTTTTCCTGGTATACTCAGTAAACTTATTCCTCTATAATTTTTACAATCTCTTTTGTCCCCTTTCCCTTTATATAAAGGGACTATACATGCTCTCCGCCAATCCCTAGGTACCTTCCCCTCTTTCATACATTTATTAAACAAAAGTACCAACCACTCCAACACTATATCCCCCCTGCTTTTAACATTTCTGCCATGATCCCATCAGTTCCAGCTGCTTTGCCCCCTTTCATTCTACGTAATGCCTCACGTACCTCCCCCACACTTACATTCTGCTCTTCTTCACTCCTAAAAGATGGTATACCTCCCTGACCAGTCCATGAAATTACCACCTCTCTTTCTTCCTCAACATTTAAAAGTTCCTCAAAATATTTTTGCCATCTACCTAATACCTCCATCTCCCCATCTACTAACTCCCGTACTCTGTTTTTAACTGACAAATCCATACTTTCCCTAGGCTTTCTTAACTTGTTTAACTCACTCCAAAAATTTTTCTTATTTTCATTAAAATTTCTTGACAGTGCCTCTCCCACTCTTTTATCTGCTCTCCTTTTGCACTCTCTCACCACTCTCTTCACCTTTCTTTTACTCTCCATATACTCTGCTCTTCTTATAACACTTCTGCTTTGTAAAAACCTCTCGTAAGCTACCTTTTTCTCTTTTATCACACCCTTTACTTCATCATTCCACCAATCACTCCTCTTTCCTCCTGCCCCCACCCTCCTATAACCACAAACTTCTGCCCCACATTCTAATACTGCATTTTTAAAACTATTCCAACCCTCTTCAACCCCCCCACTACTCATCTTTGCACTAGCCCACCTTTCTGCCAATAGTTGCTTATATCTCACACGAACTTCCTCCTCCCTTAGTTTATACACTTTCACCTCCAGTATAATAAAAACTATGTATTCTTATTCTCATATACTACTAGTAATCATTATTTTGTTTTAAGGCTGCCCAGAATTCCTTGCATAATAAGGGGCTTTCTATTAAGTAATTTATGTATGTATGTCAGTTACCTTAATTGTAAAATATTCTGTACTCCACTGCAGTGCTGAAAGCCCATTCCTTATACTCGTGTAAAGTCATCACCTACCTTTTTTCCTCGTCTTCTTTTCTGTGGGTCACTTCACCTCTCATAGATCCATCTACCGACATCTTTCTTTCTTTCAACGCACCAGCCGTATCCCACTGAGATGGGGTGGCCCAAAAGGACAAACGAAAGTTTCTCCTTTTAAATTTAGTAATATATACAGGAGAAGGGGTTACTAGCCCCTTGCTCCTGGCATTTTAGTTGCCTCTTACGACACGCATGGCTTACGGAGAAAGAATTCTGTTCCACTTCCCCATGGAAATCTACCGACATATCTACTCCCATATATCTGAGTACATTCGCTTCCTCTCTTATCTCATATCCAATCTTTCATTGCTTAGACTTTCATTTCTCACATCACTGTTCTCTTTTCTTTGTTCACTTTTAATTTCCTTCTTTTACATACCCCTCCCAATGTCCTACATCAAACTTTACAACTTCTCCAGTCTCTCTTAAAAGAATTGTGTCATCAGCAATGAGCAACTGATAACTCTTACTTTGTATCAGATTCATTATTTTTTAATCCCACAGCTCTTGCCAATGCCTTATAAGGCATTTACCTCTTTTACAACTCTATAAATGTGTTAAAACAACTATTGTGACATCACATTCACCTACCCACGGCCTAAGGTAATTTTACTGGGAAATAATCTCTGTCTCCTACATATCCTGACCTGAGCCTCACTAGATATACTAAAAACTCTTTACTGCTTTTAGTAACCTACCATCCATTCATTTGCAACATCTGCTATGTTGCATTCCTGGCCACCCTATCATGTGCTTTTTCTAAATCTGCATTCATTGATTTATGTACAGATTGAGAGATGAACAACCCAGTGTACTAGACTCCTGTGTTGGTGTGGCTGGATTCAGCGTTGGAGAAATTGCTGCTTTAACTTTTGCTGGTGCTCTGTCATTTGAAGATGGTAAGGGAACTTTTTTTTATTCGCTGTGGGTTCACTACTGTTGTTTTTTGCTCATACTTTAATAATGCTTAAAACACATTGCTTCAGAAAATGTAAGTATATGATTTGGGAGCATTCAGTATACAGTATCCTTCATCCTTTATCCTTTATGTAGGTGAGGAGCTCTTGATCCAAGGAATTGGAGCTATGTATAATTTTCCAGGCACTGTAATATGACCTTTACAAGTTTAGTACTTCCCTTGATTATAAGAATAATCAGTGTACACTTGTACAGACTTCCCTCACATAAAATGCTGTATGTACTGTTTCAAAATTGTCATGTGTGTTTAATTATTAACTCAGTCTGGGTTATCTTAAAGGACCCTCATAAATGCTAGAGAATTTTTGTAATGGAACCACTTGCCCAACCGATCACATTATTTGATCACTAGGTGTCCAACCTGAGAGGCACTGACAACCGACGTGAAATCTAGCACTGCTTGAATGAAAAAGCGAATACTGTACTATCATTTCTCTGTAGGGAATGCTGTTATCTTGTTTTGAGTACAGAGCTTAGATTAATCTATAACAACATCTGTGATTTACTCACTTATTTTTCTTGTGCAACTATATTATGATCAGGTACCATTATGATAGTCCTTGATGATGTCTCCTTACTCGGGTCTTAGTCATAATGTCCCACTCATTAGCTGTGTAATCACTAGTGTGCAGTGGTAGGGATCCACCCACACTGTATTGCAGACCTTGAACGTAGGTCATCTTTTATCCGTAAGATGTTATAAGAATGACAATTGTGGTGATCTTTACCCAAAACACTTTGGAAGATTAATTTGGTCTAAACAAAGGTCAAGACCTGAACACTGTCCAGGTTTAGCTTTATATCAGTGTTATGGTATGTGTATCTAAATATGAGGTCTTAAAGTAAAAATTTGAATACTTGTAAAACATTTGGGGTGTCTCACCTCATATTCTTAGTGATGTGATTCCCTGCATGATAACTACTCTATAGAAGCATTATTTATTGCAGAATGTTATATTTCTGCAGCAGGGAAATGAACCCTCTAGCTGGTATATACATAATTTTAATTTCTTGGCAATTTTTATTTTATCTTATAAAGAAATATAAATAATCAAGCTTAAAAATCTTTGCTAAAGAAAAAGATTCAAACCCAAGGAGTAGTTAATTTATTGACTTAAAAGGCTGATCAAATCCAATTGATAACTTGGATGGATAACCATCTGATAGAATTTTTTTGTATGAATGAGATAAATGCATATTTTCCCTCTCTCTTGTGTTCAACAGGGTGTGACATATATGTTTTATTATTATTATTATTATCACACTGGCCGATTCCCACCAAGGCAGGGTGGCCCGAAAAAGAAAAACTTTCACCATCATTCACTCCATCACTGTCTTGCCAGAAGGGTGCTTTACACTACAGTTTTTAAACTGCAACATTAACACCCCTCCTTCAGAGTGCAGGCACTGCACTTCCCATCTCCAGGACTCAAGTCCGGCCTGCCGGTTTCCCTGAACCCCTTCATAAATGTTACTTTGCTCACACTCCAACAGCACGTCAAGTATTAAAAACCATTTGTCTCCATTCACTCCTATCAAACACGCTCACGCATGCCTGCTGGAAGTCCAAGCCCCTCGCACACAAAACCTCCTTTACCCCCTCCCTCCAACCTTTCCTAGGCGACCCCTACCCGCCTTCCTTCCACTACAGACTGATACACTCTTGAAGTTATTCTGTTTCGCTCCATTCTCTCCACATGTCCGAACCACCTCAACAACCCTTCCTCAGCCCTCTGGACAACAGTTTTGGTAATCCCGCACCTCTCTAACTTCCAAACTACGAATTCTCTGCATTATATCACACCACACATTGCTCTCAGACATGACATCTCCACTGCCTCCAGCCTTCTCCTCGCTGCAACATTCATCACCCATGCTTCACACCCATATAAGAGTTGTTGGTAAAACTATACTCTCATAACATTCCCCTCTTTGCCTCCAAGGACAAAGTTCTTTGTCTCCACAGACTCCTAAGTGCACCACTCACCCTTTTCCCCTCATCAATTCTATGATTCACCTCATCTTTCATAGACCCATCCGCTGACATGTCCACTCCCAAATATCTGAATACATTCACCTCTTCCATACTCTCTCCCTCCAATCTGATATCCAATCTTTCATCACCTAATCTTTTTGTTATCCTCATAACCTTACTCTTTCCTGTATTCACTTTCAATTTTCTTTTGCACACCCTACCAAATTCATCCACCAATCTCTGCAACTTCTCTCAGAATCTCCCAAGAGCACAGTGTCATCAGCAAAGAGCAACTGTGACAACTCCCACTTTATGTGTGATTCTTTATCTTTTAACTCCACGCCTCTTGCCAAGACCCTCGCATTTACTTCTCTTACAACCCCATCTATAAATATATTAAACAACCATGGTGACATCACACATCCTTGTCTAAGGCCTACTTTTACTGGGAAATAATTTCCCTCTTTCCTACATATTCTAACTTGAGCCTCACTATCCTCGTAAAAACTCTTCACTGCTTTCAGTAACCTACCTCCTACACCATACACCTGCAACATCTGCCACATTGCCCCCTATCCACCCTGTCATACGCCTTTTCTAAATCCATAAATGCCACAAAGACCTCTTTAGCCTTATCTAAATACTGTTCACTTATATGTTTCACTGTAAACACCTGGTCCACACACCCCCTACCTTTCCTAAAGCCTCCTTGTTCATCTGCTGTCCTATTCTCCGTCTTACTCTTAATTCTTTCAATAATAACTCTACCATACACTTTGCCAGGTATACTCAACAGACTTATCCCCCTATAATTTTTGCACTCTCTTTTATCCCCTTTGCCTTTATACAAAGGAACTATGCATGCTCTCTGCCAATCCCTAGGTACCTTACCCTCTTCCATACATTTATTAAATAATTGCACCAACCACTCCAAAACTATATCCCCACCTGCTTTTAACATTTCTATCTTTATCCCATCAATCCCGGCTGCCTTACCCCCTTTCATTTTACCTACTGCCTCATGAACTTCCCCCACACTCACAACTGGCTCTTCCTCACTCCTACAAGATGTTGTTCCTCCTTGCCCTATACACAAAATCACAGCTTCCCTATCTTCATCAACATTTAACAATTCCTCAAAATATTCCCTCCATCTTCCCAATACCTCTAACTCTCCATTTAATAACTCTCCTCTCCTATTTTTAACTGACAAATCCATTTGTTCTCTAGGCTTTCTTAACTTGTTAATCTCACTCCAAAACTTTTTCTTATTTTCAACAAATTTGTTGATAACATCTCACCCACTCTCTCATTTGCTCTCTTTTTACATTGCTTCACCACTCTCATAACCTCTCTCTTTTTCTCCATATACTCTTCCCTCCTTGCATCACTTCTACTTTGTAAAAACTTCTCATATGCTAACTTTTTCTCCCTTACTACTCTCTTCACATCATCATTCCACCAATCGCTCCTCTTCCCTCCCGCACCCACTTTCCTGTAACCACAAACTTCTGCTGAACACTCTAACACTACATTTTTAAACCTACCCCATACCTCTTCGACCCCATTGCCTATGCTCTCATTAGCCCATCTATCCTCCAATAGCTGTTTATTTTTTATTTATTATCACACCGGCCGATTCCCACCAAGGCAGGGTGGCCCGAAAAAGAAAAACTTTCACCATCATTCACCCCATCACTGTCTTGCCAAAAGGGGTGCTTTACACTACAGTTTTAAACTGCAACATTAACACCCCTCCTTCAAGGAGGCACTGTACCCCCATTCCAGGATCAATCCGGCCTCCGGTTTTCCCCTGAACCCCTTCATAAATGTTATTTGCTCCACTCCAACAGCACGTCAAGTATTAAAAACCTTTGTCTCCATTCTCCTATAAAAACACGCTCACGCATGCCTGCTGAAGTCCAAGCCCCTCCACAAAAAACCCCTTTTTTACCCCCCCCCTCCCCCCTTCCTGGGCCGACCCTCCCCCCCTTCCTTTCCATTTACAATGATACCCCTTTTGAATCTTTCATTTCGCCCCATTCTCTCTACGCCCGAACCACCTCAAAACCCTTCCCGGGCCCTCTGGACAACATTTTGGTAACCCGCACCTCCCCAAAATTTTCCAAAACTACAAATTCTCTGCATAATCACACCACACATTGCCCCCAGACATGACATCTCCCCTGCCTCCAGCCTTTTCCTCGCTGCAACATTCATCACCCACGCTTCAACCCTATAAGAGCGTTTTAAAACTTCTCTCATACATTCCCCTCTTGCCCCAAGGACAAAGTTCTCTGTCTCCACAGACTCCCCAAATGCACCACTCACCTTTTTTTCCCTAAATTTTAATTCACCTCATCTTTTTAGACCATCCCCTGACACGTCCACCCCAAATACTGAATACTTCCCCCCTCCTCCATACCTCTCCCTCCAATTGAATTTAATCTTTTATCACCAACTTTTTTTATCCTCATAACCTTACTCTTTTCCTTTATTCACCTTTAATTTCTTCTTTTGACACCCACCAAATTCATCCACCAATCTCTGCAAATTCTCTTTTAGAATCTCCCCGAGATAGCTGTTTATTCTTCCCAACGCCTCCTCTTTTGTTTTTAAAAACCCTTTACCTCCCTTCCCTGATGTTCTATTCTCTTTTTCCCTCTACCTTTTACTCTCAGTGTAGCTACAACCAGAAAGTGAAACTGATATTCTTTGGGGCCCCCTTTTAAACATGTACATCCCCGAAGTTACTCAACATCTTTTATTACCAATACATAATCCAACAAATACTGTCATTTCGCCCTACATCATATTTGTATACTTTTTTATCCTCTTTTTTTAAAATATGTATTACCTATAACTAAAACCCCTTTTTATACAAAGTTCAATCAAAAAGGGTCCCATTTCATTTACACCTGCACCCCAAACTTACCTACCCACCCTCTCTAAAAGTTTTTCCTACTTTTGCATTGGTCCCCTACCACAATTACCCTCACTTGGGTTCAAAGGCTCCTTTCATTCACTTAACATCTCCCCAAAAACTCTCTCTCTCTCCCCTGCATTTCCCCCCCCTTTTCCAGGGCATACACGCTTATTATGACCCCTTTTCGCATCCAACCTTTACTTTTAACCCTAATTCTTGCATTTTCACATTTTAATTCTCTTTTCTCCCTTCCAAACTGATCATTCAACATTTCTGCTACCCCTTCCTTTTATCAACTCTCCCAATCTCCAAATAATCCCATTTATTCCCCCCACCGAAACTCCCCTACCCCCTTCAGCTTTGTTTTGCTTAGGGCCAGGACATCCAACTTCTTTTCATTCGTAACATCGGCAATCATCTGTTTCTTGTCATCCGCACTACATCCACGCACATTTAAGCATCCCAGTTTTATAAAGTTTTTTCTTCTTCTCTTTTTTAGTAAATGTCTACAGGAGAAGGGGTTACTAGCCCATTGCTCCCGGCATTTTAGTCGCCTCATACGACACGCATGGCTTACGGAGGAAAGATTCTTTTCCACTTCCCCATGGACAATAGAAGAAAAAAAGGGGAACAAGAGCTATTTAGAAAAAGGAGAAAAACCTAGATGTATGTATATATATATATGCATGTGCGTGTCTGTGAAGTGTGACCAAAGTGTAAGTAGGAGTAGCAAGATATCCCTGTTATCTAGCGTGTTTATGAGACAGAAAAAGAAACCAGCAATCCTACCATCATGCAAAACAGTTGCAGGTTTCTGTTTCACAGTCATCTGGCAGGACGGTAGTACTTCCCCGGGTGGTTGCTGTCTACCAACCTACTACCTATATGTACAGTATTAAATAAGTTATACGGTATTTCAATAGCCTACATTATTTTGCTTTTATTTTAGCATATGTACAAAATTTTCTATCTGTCTATTTCAGCAATAAGATTAGTAAAGGTGCGAGCCGAGTCAATGCAACTTGCTTCAGAAATAACACCTAGTGGGATGATGACTGTTATATACGGACCTGATTCGAGATTAGGTTTTGCATGTTCTGTGGCAAAGGAGTTATGCAAACGACAAGACCTGCCAGAAGTTGACTGTCGCATTGCAAATTACCTTTTTCCTCATTGTAAAGTAATTGCTGGGAATGAAGAGGTGAGAAGTATTTTGTATATCAATTTATCTTGCCACTGGCAAGACAATGATAGTGAGTGATGGTGAAAGTGTTTTTTGTTTTTCGAGTCACCCTACCTCAGTGGGAGATAGCCATTGTACTTAAAAAGTATATATAAAAGTGTATGTCTGTCTTGTCTGTCTTTTTTTTATATTTTTTACAATATTTTTATATACAGTAGTAATATATAAGTGCATAGTTATTAATCAGCAAGCTTATAGGGTGGTAACAAGACACATTTATGACTAGAATTTATTTTACCTACTGCATGGCGAAATGTCGTCAATAGTAGATTTCATTTGTTATGTAGGTATCAAACCATTACCTATCCAGACTTACAGGGTACAGCGTAAAATTGGAGCCATCCGTGAGCTCAGAGTTTCATTTTATCACATAACTTAATTTTTTAAATTTTGTGAGAATATTTCAGTTACTAGTTGTCTGAAAAATAATTGTTGATGGTGTTATGTCCTTGAGTAGGGTACTGCCTATAGCTGCACATCATGTAGTATAATAGCTGCTTTCTGGTTGTCCATGACTTGAATTACTGATATACAGTTTTTGTAAGTAAATTTAAGGTTGAATATTTTATTTTTTCACACATTAGCATTCTCTTCTAAGTTTTAAACCCACTTCAACAGATGCCTCATAACTTTAGGATTTTCAGGTTCCACCTCTGAATATATGATATGCCTGTACAGTGGTACCCCGAGTTTCAAACTGCTGCCAACTTGACCAGTTATGTGAGTGCATTATTGTAAGTGCTTTTGTAAGTGTATTTTTTGTGGTCTGAAACGGACTAATCTAATTTACATTATTCCTTACGGGAAGAAATTTGTTCAGTAACGGCACTTAAACAGCCTTCTGGAATGAAGAAAGTTCAAAACTCGGGGTACCACTGTATATTCAAAATATAAATGTAATTATGTATATGTAAATTTTTTTTTTTTTCAGGCTTTAACGTTCATTGAGCAAAATCAATCAGATTTCCGATTGAGACATCTCAAAAGACTACCTGTCTCAGGAGCCTTCCACACAAACCTTATGAAACCAGCAGCTGTGGCAGTCAAAGAAGTGAGTCAATTACCATTAAGTCTACAGTACTATTATAATTTCCAGTGTTTCATAATCAGTGAGATTTGTGTATATTATTATTATAATAAAAAAGAAGCGTTAAACCCACTAGGGTCATACAGTGCTGCAGGGCAAGGAGTGATGCAGGATGAAAGGATAAGCAAGGGTGGAGAGGACAACAAAGGTAGAGTTAGGAAAAGCTGTGAAGAGTGCTAAATGAAGCAGAGATTCATGAATAAAAACTGCAAAAGAAAAAAAAAAAAATCTCTTACATGGGTTGTATTAAGGTAAAGAGTTTATTTGCTGTATTGTGATTAATTCATTATGTTCGTGGTGTCCCATTTTGGTGTTTGAGCTATCAATTTTTTTTATTTCCTGTAGTAGTTATAACATTTATTACTAATATTTATATCCCATTACAGTATTTACCACTTAAAAATGTATGGTATGCTTTTGGTTTCTCTCTTTTTTTTTTTTTTTTTTTTAGCCCCCTCAGTTTGTGGCATCTTGTTTTGACTGCTGAAAGTGCTAAGAAATCATTTTTTACTGTATTTATTCTTTTATATCTTGTATAACCTTATATGATTATATTGTCTCATCTTTTCCTTCCTATCAGTCAATGAGGGGATTGTGAATGTTTAGTCATTCATTGTAACACACTCCAACAGACCTTAACCTGCTTCTCACTATCCACACAAGAGCAATTTCCTGCTTTAAGTAACTTACCATGTATTCAATACATTTGCAACATCTGCCACATTGCTCCTCTATCATATGCTTTTCCTAAATCCATAAATGCAATGAAAAATTTATTATCTTTATTTAAGTATTGTTCACTTAAATAATTGTCATACAGCACCTGGGGACTAGAAGACATGGTGAATATTACGGTACTTTAAGAAATTATTATATTCAAGGGGAAGTGCTATTCTTGTACAGTATGGGTCATATACTGCCTTGGAAATGGAACGTAATCAGGTTTGATCACTGATCTGAAGAACTAAGAAAACTGCTTGTACCACCACCACCTGTGTTTTATTAAGCTAGTTAGACATAACAAAGAAATATTTTTACAAGTGATATATATTTTTCAGATGATGACAAGAATTCCTGTTGAAGTGCCTCTCATTCCTGTTCACTCAAATGTTGATGGAAAATATTACAAAAATGCGACTCAAATCTACAAGCAACTGCCCAAACAGATCTACTCTCCTGTCAAATGGGAACAGACAATGCACATCCTATATGAAAGAAGTGTAGGAACAAATTTTCCTAAAACATATGAATGTGGACCTGGTAGATCACTGAAAACAATATTAAAAATGTGTAATGCAAAAGCCTGGGAGTCATGCTTTAATATTAAAGCATGATAATGCATATATATTTTTGCAGTACATGTGCCATTATCTTCAGTGAATGTTGTACAATGTAGCACTAATAAAATGTTCAAAGCCACGGATTGAGTAATTCTTTCCTTAAAAAAATTACACACATTGCTACATTTCTTAAACTGTAAGTTCAACAAAAATTGCCACAAAAATATATCCTCTCATTCAAGCATATAGGAAAGTTATTACATTCATGAGGAAGGTTGAGGGTGACACAGGGTACGTATCAGTGAACCTGCAGGGGTCATGCAGCACTTGGGGAAATGGGAGGCATTTGGCTTTGGTCCAAATTAGGGAAAGTTAGGTTCAATTCCTTGGATCAAGAACTCACTGGCATCAAGGAGCCTTTGAGGGAATAAGGATTTTTATTTCTTTGCATAGTTTACAATGTGTAATTACAGTTTTGATTTGGTAAGTACAAAGATAGCCACTATCATGCATGGGGAACCACTAAACCCATCTGGACCATAAAGCACCTAGGAAGTTTAGTTTAACATCTTTATCATGCACTCTATACCCATCCTGTGGGTGGTAGTCAAAAAATTACATAATGGGTCCAGGGACTGAGCTGCAAGGTTTTGATAGCTGAACAAGTTACAATGGTAATGAACTATTTTTTTTTTTTTTTTTTTAACAAGTCGTTTATATCCAGTCGCAATCATAATGAGTTATTTATGCAGACTTCAATTAGAACACACATACACAGTGGTAATGCTTTATTGACAGTGAGCAAAAGATGGTATTTTTCTAGAATGGATTGTAATATACCACTGGATAAAAAAAACTTTGACATTTCTTGAACATTTCTGAGTGAGTTGTCTCTGAATTTTTAAATTTTATTGCATTCCAGCACATAGTGACACAAGGTGTGACAATTATCCATCAGGCAAGGTTGACATTTCATTTGGCCTACATCTGGTGGTGCTGTATAGCCCTTGTGGCTTAGCACTTCTTTTTTATTATAATAATAATAATACATCTGGTGGTGGTGATTTAATCTTCCAAGGATACTTCTATCCCTTCAATTGAACCTGAATGCCTCTCATATCTCCAGGTGCTGTATGACTCATATGGGTTCACTGCTCCCCTTGATGCAGAGCAGAGGGCTCTTGATTCAAGGAATTGAATCTGTCCTCCCCTTGGATCAAACCTGAATGCCTCTCTTTCCCCAGGTTCTATATGACCACTATGAATTTAGCACTTCCACTCAATTAAATAAAGAATTCCAGGAGACACTCACATTACAGTTGTTTCTGCACAAGGGTCATTAAGGTCATACATAACCTATTCACTACCAGTGAAGAATAATCACCAAAAAGGGATTAAAGTAACCTCTCAATATAATACATTGAGAGAGACCTCTTGGCATATATGCAATCCCTAATGGGCCAAGGTAGATAGCTGTTGCTGGGTTTGGGGAGATGGTTGTGGTTGTTGAACTGATATACTCACTTGAGTGGCTGCAGGGAGTTGAGTCCTAACTTCTGGCTCTGCTTCTCAATTTGCCACTTGCCAGATTTATCTAGCCTCATGGATGGATGCAGTCATTTGATGTCAATGCAGAATTGTTAACAGGTGTTTGTTGTACAGCAATACCTTACATAGCATGGTTAATACATGTCAAAAAAAATAGTGTACTATGCAATGCCATACTGGTCAAGGCATTACGTACTGTAGTGTTTTAATGCAGCGTATTCCAACAATATAATTAAATGCATCAGATTGCAAAAATATTTAGACTTGCTTAGTACAAATCAATGCACACTTTTGCAAATAAATTACAAAAGAGAAAAACAAAAAAATAGTACTAAAGATTTTTATTAGTTGTAAATAAACAATGTACCATACATATGGTAAAGAAAAAGATAATTTTTATTTTGAAAAATAGTTGCACAATGTAATCTGCACAGTTTTATCTTCTTTATCGAGATACATATCTTTATAGCATCGAATATCATTTTGTAATGCCTCGTTATATGTTTGGATTCTTGTTTATAATGAAGTCATAAGCATCTTCTACTTTTTGCAATTAACCCTTTCAGGGTCGGCAGGTCCTCTCCTAAACTTGTTCTCAGGGTCGGAAATTTTTTGAAAAAAAAAAAAAAAAAAAAATTATTTTTTCTTATGAAATGATAAGAGAATCTTTTCCCGATCAAATGACACCAAAAGTATGAAATTTGATGGAAAACTTACAGAATTATGCTCTCGTGAAGTTAGCATTCTTGACGATGTTTACGCATCGGCGATTTTGCCCACTTTGAGCCTTATTTTCAGCCCATTCCAATGTACCAGTTGACAAAAATTATAACTATTTCACTAGAACTCCATTTTTTCTATCGAATGAGTACAAGAAACCATCCATTTACCGATTTCAACTATCCAATAATGTGGTCAGAAATTGGCAATTTTGCCAATTACACACAAATTTCAAAAGATGTCAATTTCCAAACAGGGTCCAGAATAAACAAGACAGACATTCCTGGCACTAAAATAACATTTCCTCTATTCATTAGTCATGTCCCCAGGCCTGTTTCATTTCTTTTGCTTAACTCTTTGAAATTTTTATTCTCACAAAAAATAGAAGATTTACTGTTATGCAGACTACTGCATTAGTGTAGAAATGGTATAAATAATATCAGCGCACTTGTGAAAGAATATTAGACTCACCAGTTGACGTGTATGGGACACATGGCATGATTTGTTTACTTTCGAACTTTGGCAAAAATCAAACATTTCTGCTACTCTGAGCTCAATTTCAAGGCACTTTTCATTGTGAAACCAATCAAAATCATCTCAATTTCCATAATATGTCTTTCATTCTATAAAATGAGACCAGGAAAACTAAAATACAACCATAAATAGCATACGAAAATGCACTGCAAAGTCGCTGTTTTAAACCAAAAACACGGTCGGAGTTTTTTTTCTTATTATGCAGTGTGTGCTGCAGGATTTTTTTTATACTGCTCACACTGACCACATAGACCCATTCTTTCATATGTAGGCCTACCAGCTTTCTCTCTCTAGATTTGAAGGCACTAAAATTTATGCGTACTAGTATGCCACTAACCCTGGAGTGCAAGCCGTACTAATACGGCACCAACCCTGAAAGGGTTAACATTGATAGTTCAGATAGGAAAGAGAAGGTGATGAGGATAACCAAAAAATTAGGTGACAAAAGATTGGATATCAGATTGGAAGGAGAGAGTATGGAGGGTGAATGTATTCAGATATTTAGGAGTGGATGTGTCAGCAGATGGGTCTATGAAAGATGAGGTGAATCATGGAATTGATGAGGGAAAAGAGGTGAGTGGTGCACTTAGGAGTCTGTGGAGAGAGGAAGCAGAGAGAAGAATGTATGAGAGTACATATAGTTATACCAACGCTCTTATATAAGTGTGAAACATGGGTGGTGAATGTTGCAACAAGGAGAAGGCTGGAGGCAGTGGAGACATCATGTCTGAGGGCAATGTGTGGTGCGAATATAATGCAGAGAATTTGTAGTCTGGAAATTAGGAGAAGGTGCAGGATTACCAAAACTATAATCCAAAGGGCTGAGGAGGGGTTGTTAAGGTGGTTTGGACATGTAGAGAGGATGGAACAAAATAGAATGACTTCAAGTGTATAAATCTGTAGTGGAGGGAAGGTGGCATAGGGACTGGCCTAGTAAAGGTTGGAGGGAGGGGGTAGAGGTTTTGTGTGCGAGGGGGCCTTGATTTTCAGCAAGCATGCATGAACGTGTTAGATAGAAGCAAATGGAGACAAATGGTTTTTAGGACTTGATGTGCCGTTGGAGTGTGAGCATTTATAGAGTCAGGAAAACTGGCAGGCTGGACTCGATTCCTGGTGATGGGAAGTAGTGTCTGCACTCTGAAGGAGGGGTGTTAATGTTGCAGTTTTATAACTGTAGTGTAAGCACACCTCTGGCAAGACTGTGATGGAGTGAATGATGGTGATTTTTTTTCCTTTTTGGGTCACCCTGCCTTGGTGGGAGAAGGCCAATGTGTTAATAAAAAAAAATAGCTCATCCAATGTGAATTCTTTCGTGGATGCAGCATTTTCTTGATTTTCCCGTTTCTTCATATAAATATTGTTGATCCATTTCCACAAATGTTGCATCACCAAGGTTATTGGAATGAGTCAATGCACTGATGCACATTTGCATAATCCAAAGAAGTAGGATAACCTGGAGCACTGTTCAATAACAAAATTTAAAAAATCCATGTCATTATCTTTGCAATAATAGTCACCTACAGGGCAAAAAAAAAAATTGCAAACCAATCTTCAAGCAATTGTCTCATTACCCAGGCTTTCTTATTTTACTACCATATAACAGGAAGAGCATTACTGAATAGGATTTAAGAGCCCTTGGATTTTCCATATTGTACACCAGCATAGGTTTTAATTTAAAGTCATCAGATGCAGTCTCACCTAATAAAAGCATTAAATGGTCTTTGGAGACTATATCCTGGTTAAGATGATTCTTTTTTTGCCAAATAAATGCTTGGTAGCATCTTCTAAAACAAACCCACTTCATCAGCATTAAAAATTTGCTCGTCTTTGTAGGCATTTTCTTCAATCAGTTTTTTTAGATCATTGGGAAATCTTGCAGTTGCATCATTGTCTGCACTAACAATTTGACCAGTAATTCAAACATCATGGAGTCCCATACACTTTTTAAAGTTGTAAAACCAGCCACAACTTGCCAAAAAACTTTTCCCTTCATTGTCATTTTCTTATTTAACACTGAATAGAGACTTATTGCTTTAGCATGAATTGTTCATCTAACTTAATGGAATTATTTTCTGGCTGCAGTTTTAAATCCATAACATTAAAAGACATTCCATATTATCCATTTCAGAACTATGATTTTAAACAAGAGCTATTGACATATAAGATGCTGTAGCCATTCCATGTCTTTCTTTTTATCTTTATTCCTTATATGCACATGTACTGATGCTTCATTCATTTTGTCACATATTATTTTAGCATACGATGCACCATCTTCATGTTGTTTTACAGTTTCTAGTTTTTTATCTAATGTTAACCACTGACGATTACTAGAATGCTCAATGTCACTGCATTTCTTCTTTCCACTCATATCTGTGTATACATATGTACTATATAAGACTACACAACTACACTGCTTGAAGTCTAGAGCAATAATGATGTTCACATCACACTAGTCCAGCACATAGCAGCAGTCCAATATCAGTGCATAATGCATCTAAATAAAATTTATATTAACCCTTTGACTGTCGCAACCCCCAATCCTGAGGTGTCTCCTGGTGTCGCAAAATTTAAAAAAAAAAAATTATTTTTTCTTATGAAATGATAGAGAATCTTTTCCCGATTGTAATGACACCAAAAAAACGAAATTTGATGGAAAACTGACGGAATTATGCTCTCGCGAAGTTAGCGACCTCGGCGCTGTTTACAAATCGGCGATTTCGCCCACTTTGAGCCCTACTTTCGGCTAATTCCATTGTTCCAGTCGCCCAAACTCATAGCTATTTCTTTAGAACTTCATTTTTTCTATCGATTGAATACAAGAAACTGCCCATTTACTGATTTCAACTACCTAATAATGTGGTCAGAAAATTGCAATTTGGCCAATTTCACGAAAACTAAAAAATATGACAATTTCAAAATAAGGTCCAGAATGAACAATGCAGACATCCTGGCTCTAAAATAACGTTTTCTTTGTTCATCAGTCACGTCTCCAGGCCCCTTCTGATATTACTCTTGCTTTCTATTTTGAATTTTTATTCAACAAAAAATATTAGACTTACTATTATGCAGACTACTGTCAATGCTGTAATAACTGTATAAATAACATCAACCCATTCATGACTGCATATTAGAATGGCTAGTTGGACATTTATTGGACAATGGCATCATTTGTTTACTTTTGAACATTGGCAAAAATCAAACATTTCCCCTATTTTGAGCTCCATTTCTGGGTTCTTTTTATAGTAAAATCAATCAAATCACCTCTATTTCTGAAATATGTTTTCCATTCTATCAAATGAGACCAAAAAAAACGAGAATACAACCATAAAAAATTACGCAAATAGACCACAAAGTGGGATTTTAATTAAAAAAAAAGGTCGGATTTTTTTTTTTCCTTTATGCACGCGTGCTCCGGGATTTTTTATTGGGCACACTGACCACACAACCCATTCTCTCACATGGGCCACCAGCTTTTTCCTGCTTGATTAAACCCCGCTAAAATTATGAGTATAAACGTCAAACACGGCACCTCGTAAAAGGTATATATACGGCCGCGACAGTCAAAGGGTTAAATTTATAAACCATATTATATCAAAACCCATACTATTCAAAACTGTACTATGCAAGGCATTACTGTATTAGAATTCTCAGGTATTCTGTAATGCATCTCTCCAGTTGTACTCAGCATTTCTTATACAGCTCACACTACAGCATAATTGTATGTTCCAAAGCACACTTCTTAGTCCCAAACCCATTTTCAACTTGACATGTGTAATACTGAATGATTTTAGAGGTAAAAGAGAAGCAAGGCTTACATGAAATATTTATTGTTCTGGAAAACACTATTATAAGTATGACCCTCTGGCTCTAAATATTGAAGAAATTCAACTACGTACTGTACAGTATATACAGTTCTTCATTACTGTATAATCACACACACACACAAAAAAAAAAAAGTGCCACACTCTGGTGGCTCAATTATACATAGTACAGTTCTCGAAATACAGCCTCTCCTCACTTAACAACGGAGTTCCATTCCTAAGACCTTGTCAGTAAACGAATTCGTCGGTAAGTGAAGAGCATACCATAATGGTAGTGGATTTGTGTCAACCATCTTTGATATGTTTTAATGTCACCTTTGTACCATTTATAGTATTTCTGGTACATTTTTAAATGTTTATACAGTACTGTACTGTATATTGTAATAAACAGAATAGAGGAAATCAGCTCTAACATACATTATTTAGGTATGAATACTGGTCAAAGAGTCAGTCGTAATTCCGAGTCATCGGTAAACGAGTACATTGCTAAGTGAGGAGAGGCTATATACTGTAACTGGTTACATAAATGTGCCAGAGGGCTAATTATTTAACCCTTAAACTGTCCAAACACAGATCTACGTCCACATGCGGGGGGCTCCGAACATCGATCTACGTTTTTTTTTACATGCTTTCAAATGGGGAAAATCAAGGTTGGAGCACTACACACATGAACATAGATCTACGTTTGAACAGTTTTAGGGTTAAGCAGTAGATGACATTGCCAAAAAGAAAATGCATACTAATTTATTACCTATTAGTATGACTGTTTAAACTACACTGGAGCTATTAACAAAACCAAACTGCTATAAAAATATAAAAAGTAATTACTTATAAGTGAAGCTACTATGAAATTTACAATGATGAAAAATGCATACAGTATGGTATAACACTAAAGTACAGTACAGTATTCACATGCCAGAATGAATGTGATTACCTAAAATTTATCGTTTTAGAAATACAGTGACTCATTTAACACGGAAGTTACGTTCCTGAAAATGCTGTGTGAGGTAAAACTGTGTTAAACTGAACTTATGGGAAAAAATAGGGTTACGTTCCTGGGAGCCCCAAAAAAGCCAAACAACTTTTTTTTAGGCCTCCACATCTTACAAAAATAAAAGTGAATATGTAATTGTAGTTCATTGTCATGATGTATTATGTTGTTCTTACTGCTTAAGATTACAACTGCAACAGAAATAATAGTATTTACCTTAAATTGTGGGTGCTGGTGTTTGTGGACGAGAGGAGAGTTATGCTGTGGCTTTACTGGGCTGCGGTGGATGGTAGAGGTTCTGGTACTGAAGTCGATGGTTGTACTGGAGTGTGCATAAATTCTGCAATGGATTTCTGTTCTGTTTTACCCTACAGTACATTATACAGTTGACGGTAAGGCATCAGCTGCTCTAGACAGTTTCAGGGTCCTCTTCAGTGAAAAAGTCTAAGTCATTCAGTAAGTCAGTCAAGTCAGTAAGTCAATCAGTCAAGTCAGTAAGTCAGTCAGTCAAGTCAGTCAGTCAAGTCATTCAGTCAAGTCAGTAAGTCAGTCAAGTCAGTAAGTTATTCAGTCAAGTCAGTAAGTCAGTCAAGTCATTCAGCCAGTCAAGTCATTCAGTAAGTCACTCAGTCACACACACTCACATTTACCTTATTTTATGTGCACAAAGCGAACTTCATTACGGCCACAGGTTATCTTGTCTAAAATTTCTATTTTCTTTGTTAATTCTAAGATTTATACAGCAGACCCTCGGTTATCAGCCATTCCTGTTATCAGCCAACTCAGTGATCGGCCGGTTTTTCGGCTCCTGGTGATCAGCCGTTATTTCGGTGATTGGGCATTTCGGACACATCTGTCTGCCACTGGGGCCGCTTGCACATCAGTTTGGCTGTGTCTCTCGGTGTGTAAGGAAGCTTCTGCTCATACATCCACACATTTCGCTTGTGTTACATTTTTTTTTGTGTGTGTTTTTTTTTCAGTGCAACTGCGAAATAAGTAACCACGGCTCCAAAGAAAGTTCCTGTGGTAAAGAAAGTGAGAAACACAACAGAATTTAAGTGTGAAGTATAGCAGGCATGCAGGGAGTGTAGCAGTCATGCAGGAAGTGTAGCAGGTATGCAGGGAGTGTAGCAGGCATGCAGGGAGTGTAGCAGGCATGCAAGGAGTGTAACAGGCATGCAGGGAGTGTAGCAGGCATGCAGGGAGTGTAGCAGGCATGCAGGGAATGTAGCAGGCATGCAGGGAGTGTAGCAGGCATGCAGGGAGTGTAGCAGGCATGCAAGGAGTGTAGCAGGTGTGCAGGGAATGTAACAGGCATGCAGGAAGTGTAGATAACATGCAGGGAGTGTAGCAGGCATCCAGGATGTGCAGCAGGCATGCAGGGAGTGTAACAGGCATGCAGGGAGTGTAACATGCATGCAGGAAGTGTAGCAGGCATGCAGGGAATGCAGCAGACATGCAGGGAATGCAACAGACATGCAGGGAGTGTAGCAGGCATGCAGGGAGTGTAGCAGGCATGCAAGAAGTGTAGCATAAGTTTTCATTACAGGTATGTAATACTAATTGTTAAAAAAAAAAAAATTGTGAATATTTTTGTCTGGAACGGATTAATTGTATTTACATTAATTCTTATGGGATAATTATTTCGGTTTTTGGCCATTTTGGTTTTAGGCAGAGCTTCTGGAACGGATTACAGCTGATAACCGAGGGTCCACTGTATGCTTATACCTTTTCTTGCCACTTTCAGCAACACTGGTATGCCTACTGGGTGTCATGACTGCTTGGCAGATACAAGATATGGTAATTAAAAGATCAAAACACAATTCACAAACACAGCTAGCTTGTAGTAGAGAAGTGGAACTGGACATGTATGAAGTATGAATGCTGGGATGGTGGTGTCAGGAGTGTCGGGGGATGGCAGGGAATGGTGATTGGTCCCCCCCGCTGACCCACAACAAGGCGGCCACTTGAGGAAAAGGAAAATTTTTTCCCCTCCCACAAACTGAACCATGTTAAATTAATTTTACGAAGTGTTGTATAAAATTGTGCCGTAATTCTTCAATTCGTGCTATAACCAAATCGTACAAAATAAACTTGTGTTAAATGACTGTACTGTATACAAAAGTGAGCAGAAACAAAATCTCCAAAAATGAATCAAAGTTTAACTTTCTAGGCCTGCACTTTCTTACTCCAATACAGTCTTAGAGTAAGAAAATGTGTGAGTACTAATTTGTAGTTACAAGAACAGAACTATGCGTGTGTTACTATCTATAGTTACAGAAGCAGAGCCATTTGAGTGATTTCCTTTTTTATAATAAAGCTACAGATGAGCTATGCTGGTGGTGTCCAGTTTTCAGTGCATACTCTTATTACAATTTTCCCATAGTTATAACATTTACTGCCTCTTCTATCTTATTCCAGTATTCAACCAATCTGTGAAGATTATTATTATTATTGTGATGCTCTTGGGAAGCACTAAAGCATCATGCAGCACTACATGGTGAGAAAAGTGGAGATGTTGAGGAAGGTTCATTGGCTGAAAGGATGATAGTAACAACTGGCAAAGCAAACCTGTGTAAGTTAGGAAAGCAAAGTGTGTCCACAGCAAAACTGGGGCTCTCAGAGATGAGTGGCCAGAGTAAGCATGTTATGGTGCTGGAGTTGTCTAAAATGCAGTTAGCATGCTTGCTGATGAACAGACATGTTTAGTGGTTAGATTAAGTGGGTTTTTGCTCTCTGTGTTTTTTCCACTTTTTTGTCTTCTTTTAGTAATTTTATAACAATGCTTGTTAGCGAGACAGGCCTATAGTTCAAAGGGGTTTTCCTTTGCCACCTTCTTAATACAGGAAGGCCCCATTCATACAGCTCTAAATATAGCTTGTCATCCTTTCTTTATGTGATTGTTGTGTGAAAATGGTGGAGCAAAGGTAAATGCACTGAACATAATGAACAATGGTTCAACTGAAAGCCAACAAAAATATGGATAATCAAAAAAAGGTGCTGCATAAGCAGTGCTCTTCTGTATAGGAACAATGGCACAATGTGTATCATTTTTCATTTTGCTTCCAATTGAATTTCTCATAATGAAATATTAAAAAATTTCCAGAATAGAGGGCTTAATTCTTATATACATTTTGTTAAAGTCCATGGTGTTATTATGTCTAGCTCTTTTTTCTTATTCATGTGATATACATACTACATTTGTGACCGGTTGTAAGGGTTTCTCTATCCTTGCAACCTGAGCTTAATGTTTGTTCACCCAGGTTGTTGCTGTTAATGGACTGCTGGCAAACAACCAGCACAGACTTGTTGATCTGACATTTGGCAGAGGCAGTGATCCATTTTTCTTTTGAAGATTTCTACATTTTATCTGGTAATATTTCCGATATCTGCTGGTAGCAGGCTGAGAGTCTGGGAAGTTCCTTAATGTCGGTGAGGGGCTGTTGGTCTAAGGAATTGGACCTATGCCCTTTTTCCTTGGGTCAATCCTGAATGCCTCCAATTCCTCCAAGTGCTGTACAACCTCCTATGGGTTTAGCACTCTCCATGAATGCAACAATAAAAATGAAGAGTCTTGGACCACTATGTTCAGTGTTTTCTTATTGTACTTATGGTGTCTCTGCTTTTCACTGGATTTATCTTGCAATTTCTTCCATATTTTTGGTCCTTATGGAAGCGTGTAGCTTTGAGATTTGATCCTCCAATAACTTCCTTTTGAAAACATACCTTGAAACTTCATATTTATGTTCTTGCATATCTCTTTCTAAAATGGCTTTTTTGTTACTGTTCTTGATACTTGGTATTTTGTTTATTTTTTACAAACTCGAATAAAAGATTTGGCTCCATCTTGCTCCTGTGGTATCTCTTGAATTTTTTTCAAAGTGCCTTTCTTCCTCCATTCTTACATTTGCATATTCATATCTAGCTTATTTTTTTTTTAATCTCTGGCAAGTCTCTGGGTTAGCATACTTCCTATATTGGTTCAAAGCTTTTTGCTTCCTTTTTCATGACTCTCTAGCACCTTCTGTTAAATAAATCTTTACTGTTTCATCTTTTTCTCCCGTTTGAAATAAGCTGCAATTCATGAGCATGCACATGTTTTGTAAGAAATCAATACATAAAGACATTAAGATATATCAACAGATACACACACACACAAAAAAAAAAAAAAAAACTGCAAACTGTAAAGCATCCCTACTAAGGATACCTAAATATAATGTTAAAAGCAAAATATGGAATTAAAAAGATAAAAAAAAAAAAGTTCTGTGATACTGTACAGTATTAAAAGCATTAGTATGGTAATGATAATGATTTATGAAGGATTTTCCAAAGGGCATGGCTACTTCCTTTTACAAAATATTTACTAGCTATTCTCACTGTTTAATTATACAAAATGGATTGTAAATTTCAGGTATTTACTTACCACAAGAAGTAACATAATCTTCTACATGGCTGACAACTATAGTTATATATATCAGATCAAACTTTTATTACAAAATAGAAATCTTTTTCCCTGTAGATTCAAGATGTACACGAGGATAGTATGCATACCAACATTGGCTAAGTTACATTAACATTTTAAAACAACAGATAGATGTACAGTTTAATGAATAATGAAGCATTTGTGAAAATTCATAATTACTTTATGTTAAATTGTTTTTACTGTTACCATTTTTTTCATAATTAATGAGAAGGGTTGATTTATAGCCTTGAGCACTATTAAAATATTTTTAACAGAGTCTCCCAATACAAGTTTGAGTATTTCTTCATCTTAAGAATGGCTGAAAGAATCACAAAATTATATGTTGAATGCTTTACAAATGTATACAATAAATTGAAAAAAAGTATTGTTACACTTGTATCAGTGTACAACTGCCAAATACAATAATACTTACAAAACAATAAATAAATTTCATAAACTGATATGATTCATTTGCTTTAATTAAAATTTGTACAAAATTTGAATATCACATGAGTAACACTCAAGAAACATGGCAAAATTAACAAGATTGGACTAATAACTATTATTATTACCCCATTTCTCACTTCCATGGAGTAAGGATGATGCTTGCCCAGGGTGAAGATAAGAGTGAGACAGTAAGAGAGAATTAAAAACATTTAAAATAAAAAAATAACCTGTCCATTCTCAGTACCATCGTCGAGATCTGGCACCACTGACACTCCAACAAGTTATCTCCTGTGGCTAGACAAATATGAACAAACAAAACCAGTGATATTCTCCTACCACAGCCTTTCAGAGAGGAAGATTACAAACAATAGCTTTGGATTTCAAAATACTGTATATGTATCTTCAAGTCATTATTATTATTGTTATAAATATTATTATTGTTTTTTAAATGATAAAGTATTCAACATTCAATTTGGGAATAAATTATGACTAAGTTTCTCAGATTTTGAGTGAAATGTAAAAAGATGAGTTCTTACAATAGTTTCTGACAGACTATGGCAGTAAAAGAATTGCTATTCACTTGACTCAGACATTAGAGATCGTCAAAGAGCTCCTCTTCACTGGAGCTGTCAGTGTCGTGTTGCTGGTGCTCAGGCAGGTTGTCATTTTCAAACCTCACTTCCTCAAAATTTAGATTCCCACTCCCTTTTAAGCTTTCAACCTGTGCAGTGAGAGTGTGTCTTAAAATCCATAATTAAAGAATGTCAGCTGTATAGGACTACCTTAGACAGCAAAAATAGAGAAAAGTATGAATGATCAGTTTTTTAAATAAGACAAAATAAAGAATGCTGAAGTGGTAAAAACTGTTGCAGAGGGCATAACAGGTAAGTTTGGGGATACCAGGGGTAAATTATCATCACTATCCTGTCTCTGGCAAGATAGTGATGGAATAAGTGATGGTGAAAGTGCTTTTTCTCTTTTGAGTTACCCATCTCAGTGGGAGACACCAGTGCAAAAAAAAAAAAATTGCAAAGAGTGGTAGCTGGACAAAACACTTATTTTTTTTTTTTACACAGACTGTTTCCTACTGAGAGACAGGAAAAATACTTTTACTATGATTCATTCAATCACTGCCTTGCCAGAAGCATGTTCACATCACAGTTCAGATGGTTCTCTGAACTACAACATCCCCACCCATTTTTCTGTGTACACGCACTGTACTTCCCACCTCCAGAACTCATGCACAGCTAACCAGTTTCCCTGAATTCCTTCATAAATATTACCTTAATCACACTCCAACAGCATCTTATGTCATAAAAGTCACTTGTCATCACTCAGTCTGATCTAACACTCACACAAGCCTGTTGGATGTCCAAGCCAATACAGTGGACCCCCGCATAACGATCACCTCCCAATGCGACCAATTATGTAAGTGTATTTATGTAAGTGCGTTTGTACGTGTATGATTGGGGGTCTGAAATGGACTAATCTACTTCACAATATTCCTTATGGGAACAAATTCAGTCAGTACTGGCACCTGAACTTACTTCTGGAATGAAAAAATATCGTTAACCGGGGGTCCACTGTACTTTCATTTCCCCCAGCCAACCAATCCTAAGATGACCCCTACTCTATTATCGAATGGAGGGTAAGGAGTAAAGATGTGTCGTAGCTCTATCGTTAGCGCACTCGGCTCACACACTGAGGTTCGAGGGTTGATTCCCGGTACGGGTGGTAACACTAGGTACATGTTTCCTTAACCCTTTGAGGGTCGACAGGCCCTCTCCGAAACTCGTTCTCAGGGTCGGCCAAATTTAAAAAAAAAAAAAAATTATTTTCTCTTATGAAAAGATAGAGAATCTTTTCCCGATCATAAAGACACCAAAAGTTTGAAATTTGATAGAAAACTTACGGAATTATGCTCTCGCAAAGTTAGCGGTCTCGGCGATGTTTACACATCGGCGATTTTGCCCACTTTGAGCCCCATTTTCGGCCAATTTCACTGTACTAGTCGACAAAAAACATGAATATTTCGATAGAACTCCATTTTTTCTATCGAATGGGTGCAAGAAACCACTCATTTATGAAATTCTACTATCCAGTACAGTGGTCAGAATTCAGCAATTTTGCCAATTTCACACAAATTTCAAAGATGCCATTTCCGAATAGGGTCCAGAATAAACAAGAAAGACATTCCTGTCACTAAAATGACATTTCCTCTAGTCATTAGTCATGTCTCCAAGGCCCCTCTTATATTCTTTTGCTTTCCACTTTGAATTTTTATTTCACAAAAAATATAAGATTTACTGTTATGCAGACTACTGCATTAGTGTAAAAATGGTATAAATATTATTGGTGCCTTGTGAAGAATATTAGCTCACCAGTTGACGTGTATTGCACGCTTGCACGATTTGTTTACTTTTGAAGTTTGGTAAAAATCGAAACATTTCCTGCTACTTTGAGCTCAATTTCAAGGCACCTTCTTTGTAAAACCAGTCAAAATCATCTTCAATTTCTGTAAATTATTCCATTCTATAAATGAGACAAGAAAACTAGAATACAACAATAAATACCATACGAAAATACACTGCAAAGTCGCTGATTTATTCAAAAAAAATGGTAAAAGTTTTTTTTTTCTCATTATGCACTGTGTGCTGCAGGATTTTTTTTAGACTGTGCACACTGACCACATAGACCCATTCTTTCATATGAAGGCCTACCAGCTTTCTCCCACTAGATTTGAGGCCGCTAGAATTTATGAGTACTAGTACGTCAAAAACCCCAACGCGTAAGACGTACTAGTACGACGAAAACCCTCAAAGGGTTAAGACACCTGCTGTCCATGTTCACCTATCAGTAAAATACGTACCTGGGTGTTAGTCAACTGGTGTGGGTCGCATCCTGGGGACAAAATTGACCTAATTTGCCCAATTTGCTCCAAAAGAATCTTAGAAAGCTTACCTAACCTTATTATAACAAGAACAATTTATTTTAGCCTAACCCAACTAAATATATTTTAGATTTGTTTACAGTAATTTAATACTAAACAAACACAGTGAAATATATTTTTTGTTGTTAGGTTCAGAATGATTTTGGCGAAATTATAGCATCCATAAATATTCGCTTGTCCTAAAATAAAAAATGGTCAAGAGAGCGTTGATATTAAGCAAAGATCGCAAGTAACTGCCAATGGCACGACATAAATATATAATATATATATACAGATGGGACCCCCGGTTAACGATATTTTTTCATTCCAGAAGTATGTTCAGTAGCCAGTATCTGACTGAATTTGAATCCGCATAAGGAATATTGTATGAAGTAGAATAAGTCCACTTCAGACCCCAAACATACACGTACAAACACACTTACATAAAAACACTTACATAATGTCGCATTGGGAGGTGATCCGTCATGCGGGGGTCCACTGTATATAAAAATATAATAATATATAGTAATATAAATAAAAATATAAATAAATAAATAAATATAAATAAATATAAATATAAAGTATATAAATATATATATATAGATATAAATGTATAATCATTTAATTATTTTTTTTTTTCATTCAACAAGTCCCGGCCATCTCCCACCGAGCAGGGTGACCCAAAAAAAGAAAGAAAATCCCCAAAATAAATACTTTCAATCTCATTCAACCCTTTCACACACACACACATATAACACTGTTTTTGCAGAGGTGCTCAGAATACAACAGTCTAGAAGCATACACATATAAAGATACACAACATATCCCTCCACACTGCCAATATCCCAAACCCCTCCTTTAAAGTGCAGGCATTGTACTTCCCATTTCCAGGACTCAAGTCCGACTATATGAAAATAACCGGTTTCCCTGAATCCCTTCACTAAATATTACCCTGCTCACACTCCAACAGATCGTCAGGTCCCAAGTACCATTCGTCTCCATTCACTCCTATCTAACACGCTCACGCACGCTTGCTGGAAGTCCAAGCCCCTTGCCCACAAAACCTCCTTTACCCCCTCTCTCCAACCCTTTCGAGGACGACCCCTACCCCGCCTTCCTTCCCCTATAGATTTATATGCTTTCCATGTCATTCTACTTTGATCCATTCTCTCTAAATGACCAAACCACCTCAACAACCCCTCTTCTGCCCTCTGACTAATACTTTTATTAACTCCACACCTTCTCCTAATTTCCACACTCCGAATTTTCTGCATAATATTTACACCACACATTGCCCTTAAACAGGACATCTCCACTGCCTCCAACCGTCTCCTCGCTGCTGCATTTACCACCCAAGCTTCACACCCATATAAGAGTGTTGGTACTACTATACTTTCATACATTCCCTTCTTGCCTCCATAGATAACGTTTTTTGACTCCACATATACCTCAACGCACCACTCACCTTTTTTCCCTCATCAATTCTATGATTAACCTCATCCTTCTATAAATCCATCCGCCGACACGTCAACTCCCAAGTATCTGAAAACATTCAGTTCTTCCATACTCCTCCTCCCCAATTTGATATCCAATTTTTCTTTATCTAAATCATTTGACACCCTCATCACCTTACTCTTTTCTATGTTCACTTTCAACTTTCATACCTTTACACACATTCCCAAACTCATCCACTAACCTTTGCAATTTTTCTTTAGAATCTCCCATAAGCACAGTATCATCAGCAAAAAGTAACTGTGTCAATTCCCATTTTGAATTTGATTCCCCAAAATTTAATCCCACCCCTCTCCCGAACACCCTAGCATTTACTTCCTTTACAACCCCATCTATAAATATATTAAACAACCATGGTGACATTACACATCCCTGTCTAAGACCTACTTTTACCGGGAAGTAGTCTCCCTCTCTTCTACACACCCTAACCTGAGCCTCACTATCCTCATAAAAACTCTTTACAGCATTTTAATAACTTACCACCTATTCCATATACTTGCAACATCTGCCACATTGCTCCTCTATCCACTCTATCATATGCCTTTTCTAAATCCATAAATGCAATAAAAACTTCCCTACCTTTATCTAAATACTGTTCACATATATGCTTAAAAGTAAACACTTGATCTACACACCCCCTACCCACTCTGAAACCTCCTGCTCACCCGCAATCCCACATTCTGTTTACCTCAATTTTTCAAAATAACCCTAAAAGTACACTTTTCCGGTTACTCAGTAACTTATTCCCCTATAATTTTTACGTCTCTTTTTTCCCCTTTCCCTTTATATAAAAGGGGCTATACATGCCCCCGCCAATCCCTAGGTACCTTCCCCTCTTTCAACATTTTTTTAAACAAAAGTACCAACCACCCCAACCTATATCCCCCCCTGTTTTAACATTTTTTTGTCATGATCCCCTCAGTTCCACTGCTTTCCCCCTTTCATTTTACTAATGCCCCGTAAACCCCCCCCACACTTTCATTCTCTCTTCTTCACTCCTAAAAGATGGTATACCTCCCGACCAGTGCATGAAATTACTGCCTCTGTTTCTTCCTTAACATTTAAAAGTTCCTCAAAATATTCTCGCCATCTACCCAATACCTCCATCTCCCCATCTACTAACTCCCCTACTCTGTTTTTTAACTGACAAATCCATATTTCCCCTAGGCTTTCTTAACTTTTTTAAAACTCACTCCAAAATTTTTTCTTATTTTCATTAAAATTTCTTGACAGTGCCTCTCCCACTCCTTATCATCTGCTCTCCTTTTGCACTCTCTCACACTCTCTTTACCTTCTTTTACTCTCCATATACTCTGCTCTTCTTATAACACTTCTGCTTTGTAAAAACTCTCATAAGCTACCTTTTTCCTCTTTTATCACACCCTTTACTTCATCATTCCACCAATCACTCCTCTTTCCTCCTGCCCCCACCCTCCTATAACCACAAACTTCTGCCCCACATTCTAATACTGCTTTTTTAAAACTATTCCAACCCTTTTCAACCCCCCACTACTCATCTTTGCACTAGCCCACCTTTCTGCCAATAGTCGCTTATATCTCACCCGAACTTCCTCCTCCTTAGTTTATACACTTTCACCTCCCTCTTACTTGTTGTTGCCACCTTCCTCTTTTCCCATCTACCTCTTACTCTAACTGTAGCTACAACTAAATAATGATCCGATATATCAGTTGCCCCTCTATAAACATGTACATCCTGGAGCCTACCCATCAACCTTTTATCCACCAATACATAATCTAATAAACTACTTTAAATTACGTGCTAACATAAACCCTTTGGGATATTTTTTATCCTCTTTTTCATAAAATATGTATTACTTATTACCAAATTTCTTTCTACACATAGCTCAATTAAAGGCTCCCCATTTTACATTTACCCCTGCACCCCAAATTTACCTACTACTCCCTTCCATAACATTTTACCCACTTTAGCATTGAAATCCCCAACCACCATTAAATCTCACACTTGATTCAAAACCCCCACGCATTCACTCAACTTTTCCCAAAATCTCTCTCTCTCCTCTACACTTTTCTCTTCTCCAGGTGCATACACGCTTATTATAAAACCCCCTTTTCACATCAATCTTTATTTTTACTCCACATAATCCTTGAATTAATACATTTATAGTCCCTCTTTTCCTGCCATAGCTTATCCTTCAACATTATTGCTATCCTTCTTTAGCTCTAACTCTATTTGAAAACCCCTGACCTAATCCCATTATTTCCTCTCCACTGAAACTCTCCCACCCCCTTCAGCTTTGTTTCACTTAAAGCCAGGACATCCAGCTTCTTCTCATTCATAACATCCACAATCATCTCTTTTTTATCATCTGCACAACATCCACGCACATTCAGACTTTCCCACTTTGACAATTTTCTTCTTCTTATTCTTTTTAGTAATCTTTACAGGAAAAAGGGGGTTTCTAGCCCATTGTTCCCGGCATTTTAGTTAACTTTTACAACACGCATGGCTTAAAGGAGGGGAAAAATTCTTATTCCACTTCCCCATGGATATAAAAGGAAAATTAATAAGACCAAAAAACTATTAAGATAAAATCAAAGAAAACTCAGATGAGTGTGTATAAATAAATGTGTACATGTATGTGTAGTGGTGACCTAAGTGTAAGTAGAAGTAGCAAAACATGCCTTTAATCTTGCATAATTTATGAGACAGACAAAAGACATCACAATCCTACCCTCATGTAAAACAATCACAGGCTTCTTTTTACACTCACTTGGCAGGACGGTAGTATAATATAATACAGGGGACCCCCGGTTTAACGATATTTTTTATTCCAGAACAGTTCAGGTGCTACTGACCGAATTTTTTTCCCATAAGGAATATTGGAAGTACGTTTGTCCCCTTTTAGACCCCCAAACAACACGTACAACCACTTGCATAAATACACTTACATAATTGGGCGCATTTGGGGGTAACGTTAAGCGGGGGTCCCCCTGTAAAAATATATATAATAAAAATTATAATATATATTATTATTATTATATATTTTTTTTTTTTTTTTTTTTTTTCAACAAGTCGGCCGTCTCCCACCGAGGCAGGGTGACCCAAAAAAGAAAGAAAATCCCCAAAAAGAAAATACTTTCATCATCATTCAACACTTTCACCACACTCGCACATTAATTAATTGGGTCCCTGTTATTATATTCTACATGGACTTTATTATATTATTTCAGGTCACTTTTTTTATTGTATCTTTATATATGCTTCTAAGCTGTTGTATCTGGGTGCCTCTGCAAAAACAGTGATTATGTATGAGTGAGGTGAAAGTGTTGAATGATGATGAAAGTATTTTCGTTTTGGGGATTTTCTTTCTCTTTGGGTCACCCTGCCTATAGGTGGGACACGGCTGATTTGTTGAAAAAAAAAAAAAAAATAAAATGTTTACCGTAGTTAACCCTTAAACAGTTCAAACATATATGTATATATACATTCTCTCGCGTAGCGCCCCAAACGTATATATACGTTTCCTTTGTCATTCATTCAACATTGGCATGATAAGCCTGAGCCGCCTAGACATGAGAGAATGGGTGTGCGCACTTACTCTATGCCATATGAAAAAAATTGGGGACACCTGGGTACCATATGCTCTTTTTTCCTATTAAAAAAAGAAAGTTTTTTTTTTTCTCTCAAAAAATTTGGGGCGCTACGCAAGAGAACATATACAATATACGTTTGAACTGTTTAACCCTTTGAGGGTCGGCAGGCCCTCTCCGAAACTCGTTCTCAGGGTCAGCCAAATTTAAAAAAAAAAAATTATTTTCTCTTATGAAAAGATAAGAGAATCTTTTCCTGATCATAAGGACACCAAAAGTTTGAAATTTGATGGAAAACTTACGGAATTATGCTCTCGCAAAGTTAGCGGTCTCGGCGATGTTTACGCATTGGCGATTTTGCCCACTTTGAGCCCCATTTTCAGCCAATTCCACTGTACTAGTCGACAAAAAACATGAATATTTCGCTAGAACTCCATTTTTTCTATCGAATGGGTGCAAGAAACCACCCATTTATGAAATTCAACTATCCAGTACAGTGGTCAGAATTTAGCAATTTTGCCAATTTCACACAAATTTCAAAAGATGCCAATTTCCGAATAGGGTCCAGAATAAACAAGAAAGACATTCCTGGCACTAAAATGGCATTTCCTCTGGCCATTAGTCACATCTCAAGGCCCCTCTTATATTCTTTTGCTTTCCACTTTGAATTTTTATTCTCACAAAAAATATAAGATTTACTGTTATGCAGACTACTGCATTAGTGTAAAAAATGGTATAAATATTATTGGTGCACTTGTGAAAGAATATTAGACTCACCAGTTGACGTGTATTGCACGCTTGGCATGATTTATTTACTTTTGAAATTTGGTAAAAATCGAACATTTCTGCTACTTTGAGCTCAATTTCAAGGTACCTTTCATTGTAAAACCAGTCAAAATCATCTCAATTTCTGTAATATGTCTTCCATTCTATAAAATGAGACCAAGAAAACTAGAATACAACAATAAATACCATACGAAAATACAGTGCAAAGTCGCTGTTTTATTCCAAAAAAATGGTCAAAGTTTTTTTTTTTCTCATTATGCACTGTGTGCTGCAGGATTTTTTTTAGACTGTGCACACTGACCACATAGACCCATTCTTTCATATGAAGGCCTACCAGCTTTCTCTCACTAGATTTGAGGGCGCTAGAATTTAGGCGTACTAGTACGTCAAAAACCCTGGGTCGTAAGCCGTACTAGTACATCCGAAACCCTCAAAGGGTTAAGGGTTAAAAAGTGAAAATAATATAGCAGAAGACAATTTTGGAGAAAAATTAAAGAAAATGTGTATGGAAGTAGTGAATGTTTTCAGATACTTGGGAGTTGACGTGTCGGCGGATGGATTTATGAAGGATGAGGTTAATCATAGAATTGATGAGGGAAAAAGGGTGAGTGGTGCGTTGAGGTATATGTGGAGTCAAAAAACGTTATCTATGGAGGCAAAGAAGGGAATGTATGAAAGTATAGTAGTACCAACATTCTTATATGGGTGTGAAGCTTGGGTGGTAAATGCAGCAGAGAGGAGACGGCTGGAGGCAGTGGAGATGTCCTGTCTAAGGGCAATGTGTGGTGTAAATATTATGCAGAAAATTCAGAGTGTGGAAATTAGGAAAAGGTGTGGAGTTAATAAAAGTATTAGTCAGAAGGCAGAAGAGGGGTTGTTGAGGTGGTTTGGTCATTTAGAGAGAATGGATCAAAGTAGAATGACATGGAAAGCATATAAATCTATAGGGGAAGGAAGGCGGGGTAGGGGTCGTCCTCGAAAGGGTTGGAGAGAGGGGGTAAAGGTGGTTTTGTGGGCAAGGGGCTTGGACTTCCAGCAAGCGTGCGTGAGCATGTTAGATAGGAGTGAATGGAGACGAATGGTACTTGGGACCTGACGATCTGTTGGAGTGTGAGCAGGGTAATATTTAGTGAAGGGATTCAGGGAAACCGGTTATTTTCATATAGTCGGACTTGAGTCCTGGAAATGGGAAGTACAATGCCTGCACTTTAAAGGAGGGGTTTGGGATATTGGCAGTTTGGAGGGATATGTTGTTTATCTTTATATGTATATGCATCTAAACTGTTGTATTCTGAGCACCTCTGCAAAAACATTGATAATGTGTGAGTGTGGTGAAAGTGTTGAATGATGATAAAAGTATTTTCTTTTTGGAGATTTTCTTTCATTTTTGGGTCACCCTGCCTCGGTGGGAGACGGTCGACTTGTTGAAATAAAAAAGTGTATGGAAATACAGGAATAAAAATATTCAGCATAACTAATCACGGTTTACTGATATAATATGATGTTTATTAGTTTTCCTGGGGAAAGCCCTGTGTAGCCTCCCACTCCTGGCTACTGCTCTGTGTAATATTAACAAATGCTGGTGGTTCTACTTGATCTGCTACAATTATATACATGTTAGGGTTCTGAACTATCTTTTGCCATTCAACATATGTATATCAATACAACAATGCATGCAAAGATGTACTCCAGAAATCTACTGCAGACAGTTATCTTTGCTTCACAAAGATAGGGCAAGTGCTCTCTAGGGTTTAAGTCCAAGAAAGCAGCTTTGGTTTCTAGATAACTGTTCTTTCCATCTTACTGACTGTGGGACTGCTATCAGGAAAATATACATCCAAAACAAAAACTCAGGTAAATATAAAAGCCATTTCTAATGACATACCTCAACTGGAGGTTGATAAACAAATAAAAAATCTTCTTCATCACTTTCCGTCCAATCTGTCCAAAGATTTCTAACAGCTTCCACTCGATCAAGTGAAAGGAAACTACGAATATTTCTGGCTAAGTGTTCCTGGTCACTATGAAAAAAAGAAAAAATATTAAAAAATATATCCAGACAATAATACAGACAATTATCTTTATACAATATTTTACCAATTGTTCTACTCTAATTTAGGTCATCTATATTTAATGTAATATTATCTAAATTTAAACCTTAGCTGCATATGTTGAGTTCTAAAAAAGATCAAACAAGAAAATTATATGCATGATTTAATTAATCTGCATAATGCACCAATTGTGATGTTATGAAAAAAAATTCTTATGTCAATACTGAACATAAGGTTATCAGGTACTAAAAACATACAGAACCTGAATTTGAAATTGTGTAACCATACTAAACAGTTATCAAACTTTTGAAAGATGTAAGAGACTCTTAAACATCAAGCTAAAATGCAAGCCAAAGGTGCTGTCAACTACACTGTGAGGTTTATATTATCATAGACCTCATGGTGTGGTGGTAAGTGTTGGTGGCTTGCATTTTAACTTACTGTGTTCAAGTGCCCGACAAATCTTTCAGCAAAAGGAATTCTGTTTTCATGCCTATTTAATTCATCTACAATATGTGTTCCCAATTCATTCAAACATTTGCAGGGCACTGCAAGTCTTGGGTGCTATCCAAAATATTAAATATTATTATGTAGAGTGACAATGACAGTCACATCTGCTGTGGCTTAATATTTAGACCAAACACATGCAGAGTTGTATTTTTCTAGAAATAACTGGAGAATGTGTCTACATTCCCAAGCAGTTCAACAGAAAGGAGCCTGAACTGTTTTTTAAAGCTTTTGTGTAGAGTCCATGTGTAAAAATACTCAGTATACTAAGCCCAGATTCATCAAGATGATAAAATAAATATGTTATCCCTGAGGGAGGTTCCAGTAGACTCCTGCTTCCCAGCCCAAACCAGTGGATTCTTCCCAGCCCAAACTCTCATTCATAACTGATCAATGTACATGCCTCTTAACCCTTTGACTGTCGCAACCCCCAATCCTGAAGTGTCTCTTGGTGTTACAAAATTTAAAAAAAAAAAAAAAAAAAAAATTCTTATGAAATGATAGAGAATCTTTTCCCGATTGTACTGACACCAAAAAAAACGAAATTTGATGGAAAACTGACGGAATTATGCTCTCGTGAAGTTAGCGACCTCGGCAATATTTGCAAATCGGCGATTTCGCTCACTTTGAGCCCTATTTTCGGCTAATTCCATTGTTCCAGTCGACCAAACTCATAGCTATTTCTTTAGAAGTCCATTTTTTCTATCGATTGAGTACAAGAAACTGCACATTTACCGATTTCAACTACCCAATAATGTGGTCAGAAATTTGCAATTTGGCCAATTTCACAAAAATTAAAAAATATGACAATTTCAAAATAAAGTCCAGAATGAACAATGCAGACATTCCTGGCTCTAAAATAACATTTTCTTTGTTCATCAGTCATGTCTCCAGGCCCCTCTGATATTACTCTTGCTTTCTATTTTGAATTTTTATTCAAACAAAAAATAGAAGACTTACTATTATGCAGACTACTGCAATACTGTAATAATTGTATAAATAACATCAACCCATTCCTGACTGCATATTAGAATGGCTAGTTGGACATTTATTCGACAATGACATCATTTGTTTACTTTTGAACATCGGCAAAAATCAAACATTTCCCCTACTTTGAGGTCCATTTCCAGGTTCTTTTTATAGTAAAATCAATCAAAATCACCTCTACATATTTCTATAATATGTTTTCCATTCTATCAAATGAGACCAAGAAAACGAGAATACAGCCATAAATACTATACAAAAATAGACCACAAAGTCGGCATTTTAATTAAAAAAAAAAAACGGTCGGAGTTTTTTTTTCTCATTATGCACTGCGTGCTCCAGGATTTTTTTTATATGGTGCACACTGACCACACAGACCCATTCTCTCACATGTGGGCCTACCAGCTTTCTCCTGCTTGATTTGAAGCCGCTACATAAGGGGGATTACCAACAGATCCCTGGCAGTCTTCAAGCTGGCACTGGACAAGCACCTAAAGTCGGTTCCTGACCAGCCGGGCTGTGGCTCGTACGTTGGTTTGCGTGCAGCCAGCAGCAACAGCCTGGTTGATCAGGCTCTGATCCACCAGGAGGCCTGGTCACAGACTGGGCCGCGGGGGCGTTGACCCCCGGAACTCTCTCCAGGTAAACTCCAGGTAATACGTAAAACACGGTACCTCGTAAGACGTATATATACGGCCGCGACAGTCAAAGGGTTAATTAACATATAATTAAAGAAAAAAGTATGATAATTCTTGTTGACTGATATGAGCAAATGAAGCACAATAAATACTAAATATGAAAGTGCTGTACAATAATATACAATCTACACATCATCATCACTCTGGTCATGCCCAATGAACAATGATGATGATGATGACAGAACAGTGTTGATGAAATACAGTATGTGAATGCAAACAAACATCTATGTAGCTAGGGACATCTCAGTCTCTCACATTTTCTTATTGTGGTATACTGTACATTATTATTACATTCATAGGAGTACACAGTACCTGGGGAATGGGAGGTAATCAGATTCAGTCTCAGAAAGGAGATGTTAGCTTCATTTCCTTGGACAAAGAGCCCTTCACCAAGACAATGTAGTTATTGAATCCAAATAGTATACAGTTGATTACTCACCTCTTTTGTCCCACGCTGGTCTCGGAGATAAGAACCGTGCCTCCAGCTCTTAGTACCAATGCAACCTGATAGCCATCTTTGAGTCTGCTGAAAAAATGACTTTTTAAATATTTTACAGATTTTCTCAATACTTTATCTCAATGAATTATAATGGTTGAACACTATCTCTAACCAAAAAACCATTTACTGGGAGGCTCATTATAGTGTCCCGCAAACCTTTCTATACAGTACGTACTTAACGCACCCAATACACAGCTCTCGTTGACACTGCTTTCACCCACAAACTTTCTCATCTTATCCTTCCACCTTAATCTGAAATTTTCATGTGTATAAAATATTTTGTATTTTTCCTTTACTTTTATTTTTTTTACTTTTTTTTTTGTTTCTTTTGTACCAGTATTTCTATCTGGCATAAATGTTAGTTTTTGCTCTGCCTCATTAATTTATGTTTAAGTTTTCTATAATTCACCAGGACATTTTCAGTAATTGAGCAGGACTCTTAATTCCATTTCCATTTTTGCATTATTTTCCACTGATCTCTTTTTTTTTATCTTCCTCACAGTTCTGGAAGTCATTTTTATACAGACTATAGTTTTGTGCACAGACTATAGTTTTATGCATGAAATTAGAATGCTCATGATCGTTTTTCAAGGAATAGTGAATTTATTAGTCACCGTGTCCCTGTCAATACCCCAACTGATGGTGTTAAATATATTAAAGCTGTTAGGTTGGATATTTGAGTTACAGCACATGGATTTAGTTTTAATGTACTTCAAAGAGGTTGTATTCCAAGCATAATGTATAGTACAGTATTTAAGACTTAGATGGTTCTGATTACATTAGTATAGCTCCTCAATGCTTGATTAAGATACCTACCAAAAAATTATATCTGAAATTGGCAAATAAGGACAATCATTACCTGAAAACAATATTGTATCAAATAACCAGCATGTAGAAACTGAAACGTATGGCAACATTTCAGTTTCCTACGTGCAGGCTATCTGTGTATTGTTCCAGTCATGGTACTTTGCCTTTTTACTCTTTAAGCATTCTTAAGCTATTGCATGAAAATAAAAATGGAAGAAAAAACACTATGAACCACTATTAGGTATTCCACCAAGGCCAAGTAAGGGATACATAATAAAAAGCACTGTACATGATTTTAAAGAAGCAGCTAATATTTATTTTATTCATTTTAATCAGGAGGAAGCATTAACCCAGAGGGGTCATATAGTCCTTGGGAATTGGCAGTATTCATGTTCAATCCATGGAAGGGAAGGATAAGTCCAGTTACATGGCTCAAAAGCCCCTCACCAACATCAAGGGAGCAACTAGCCAGAGAAATGTGGAGGACACAGAGAATAATCTCAATAAGTATAAGAATTAAAGGTGAATGATGTTCAGAAAAGAGTGGGTAGAGAGAGAGGTATAAGCAATGGTTGAAGAAGAAATGATGAGAAAAGATGGAGGGATTAATGTGACTTAGACTGAAATGCTGAAATCAGGTTTGGGAAAACTGAAATGGTTGGTGTATTTGTTCAGTACAGCATACAATTTTATAACAATGAAAAAAAAAAAGAGGGTACCTAACAAGACAGCATATGTAATTCCTATGAATAAGAATAAAATGCACAAGTAAATGTATGAAAGGTATAATTATAAAAAGCAGAAGAGGAGTTGTTGAGATGGCTTGGTTATGCAGCATATATACTAGCTTGGTTGATTAAGGTGTATGAATCTGGAGTGGATGGGAATTGTAGGGGATGTTTGAAGAAGGGTTGGAAGGAGGGTGTAAAGAGGTTTAGAAAGATGATGGCTTGAACATCCAGCAGGCATGTGTTACCTGTTTTATCAAGAGTCCTGATAAGTGGCTCATGCGATGAAGAGTGGGTGTGGTAATATCGAAGAGGGAATTCAAGGAAACCTGTTAGCTAAACTTGAGTTTGGAAAGTTGGGAGCATGGTGCCTGTACTTTAGTCAGTTGAAGATGTTATTGCTTGGTAGGTGACCAATGAGCTCTGAAAGCTATGCCCCTCAAGGAAGACAGTGAGGGAGCAAGTGATCATGATTGTGTTTTTGAGTCACTGTGCCTTAGTTGGAAATGGACAGTGTGTTGAAAAATGTTACATGCATTCTTCTGAAGGAGAATCTGTTGAGGTTCCAGACACTATCATTTTTGCCAACCTTTGCACATGCTGTTGTTATCCTGTTGACATGAGATTCTGGTGATTAACTCCATATTATGTCTACTTCTAGACCCCTCCCATTCTGATTCCAAACGATGAATTACTAGTTTTCTTTCTCCTCCCATCTTCATCATCTTACCCTTTTCAAAGTTGAACTTGAATAAGCTTCTACTGAACCAGTCTTGCAGCCTGTCTGTGTCCCCGCAGCTTTTTATACTCTCCTTCCATTTTTTCTTCTCATGAGCTTTACATCATCTGCAAACATCAACAGGCAGAAATCAATGTCTCCAGGTAGATCGTTAACATATATCACAGCAGGAGAAGGCGAAGATGAGTTTGAGTATTGCACTTTATCTACTTGTACTGAGAGAAGTAGAGATATACTTATGGTGTCCAGTCTCCAATAATTATCATATAGCATTTTAAGTCACTGGTAACTGCAGCACACACTACCACTTTATTTATGAAGAAATACTTATTAAGACCTATCTGCAACACTTTCATAAATAAAAGTTATCGCCTCTTGTTCTACGTGTACTCACCAACTTCTGATTACCTCTTAGCAGAGCCACACTCTGGTTTTCGTCTTTAATCCTTAGTTTATTATAGAAAAACATTGTTTGTTACAGTACATGTAACCTACAGTACCTTTCCTTGGATCCCATTCCAGTTATCTCTTGCAATATTTGCTTTCGTGTTCTTTTTCACCCACTTGTGTTCAGAGATTCAGCTCCTACCACAAATATTGATGTAATTGCCTGTGAATATATGTAAAGTACTTGTTTGGTGAAGTGTCCCAAGCTCCATGGGCGATGCTGTATTTTCATTTGTATTTGTACATGGAGTCAGAGTTACTGTTGTATATCTTTCCCTAGTGCATTCCAGTAATACACCACCCTAAACTGATGATGTTCTTTCATACAGGTATTTTGCTCACTTTGGTTATTAACTTCCATCCACTTTTCCTCATCCAGCTCCAAGCCTTCTAGTTTATATGTCCAATTTTAAATACAGTATTGTACTTCCAGGTAAAAACTAAGAATACTGTACTCAGTTCATCCTGAACAATGTAGTCATGTCCTTTCTGTTCTTTTAAGCATCCGCTGTTGTGGAATACAGTTCAAGCTTGTGCTCATAATGATCAAATTATTAGAACTTCTTGAACTTAAATGTTTGGAGGGATGTGAATTTCATGCTGATGCCATATACAATAACGAGCCTCACATAGGTATATACATATGCACTTGATCATATTCTTTTTATGTTGGCATCAATGACATGTTCTGTGCTTGCCTGTCCCCTTTCTTGAATAATGATACTGCCCTACATTTGAAGTTTTAAACATTCTGGTATCTCTCCTGCTACTTATATTTTATTGTTACCTTATTCTTACAGTAGCTTGCTCCAGGCTCTGCCTTCTATTACTGTATCCAGTAAAGATTTTTATTTTTATTTTTATTTTGATTGCTTTCCACATATCCAACTCATTTAGTAGGAGTATTATTATTATTATCATTATCATTATTACAGTATTTATTACAATTTTTTACCACATCAACCAAATATCATCAAGGTAATGTTACCAAAAAAACAAGAAACATTCATTATTCATTCAGCATCCCAGCTCCCACTCCTTCAGAGTATGTACAGGCATTGTACTTTCTCCTCCAGGAATCAAGTCAAGCCAGCCAGTTTCCCCAAATCTCTTCATAAATGTTACTCTGTTCACCCTCCAACAGCATGTCAAATCCTTAAAACTACTTGTCTTTGCTCATCCTGATTGCAGACACACAAACCTGCTGGATGCTTAAGTCCCTCCCATTTCAAACTTGTTTCATATCCTTTCTGGGATGGCTCCTTTTCCATCTTCCTTCTGCCCGAGATTTATACACTAATCTTGGTCATCTTATTTTGCTCTATCTTCTTTAACCCCTTCAGGGTCCAAGGCCAAAATCTGAAGTGGTGCTCCAGTGTCCAAGAAATTTTGAAAAAAAAAAAAAATGATTTTTTCTTACAGAATTAAAGAGCATATTTTTGTGAAGGTAATAAGACAAAAAAAAAGAATTTCTGATCAGTACTTACCGAGATACAGTGCCAAGAAGTTTGTCCAAAATGATGTGGTGGCGGCAACATCGACGAATTCCACATCCCGTGCATTAACATTATTTTAGCGGTTTTTTATAGTTTTTTTTTTTCCCTTTTCCCCAATTTTTTTCTTTCCTACTAACATTTGGGGCCTGAGAGACCAATACTGTATATAATATATATGTATAAACTCACTGTATTGAACACAATAACCGCACTAAAGTTATTATCATATTATTGTTTAAACCACTGTTGTTTATTACAATAAACATGCACAAATCTTGTATAAAACTAAGTTCTATCATATATTTACACATTTACAATCACTGGACATGGTTTTAGAACTGCTGGAGCTTGTGGAATCCTTGAAACAAGGCCCCATGCACAGAGGCACCTTACATTCCCACACATAAACCGAGTGTCTTTTGCGTCTTTGTTGCCGTCGTTTTGTTTGTGCACAGACGATGCATCTTTTCTGAGCAAATTTCTTCTGAGTTGAAGGAAGCGAAATTATGAAATGATCACCTTCCCTCCTCAAATGCTTGGGTATTTTCCTGAATAATTCGAGGACCTTGTTGTATAGCAGGTGTTCTTACGTGGTACTTCATTATAAATTGTCTGACAACAGACAAACAAAATTCACCATACGGTGGTCGTTGCCAGTCTTATTTGGTACATTAAATGCATTGAGCATTGCAATGTCCATGAAAATGGAAGAAAAGTTTCATGTACCGCTTGTAACTCTTACAAACAACAGTCAACAAAACCAATCTGCATGTCACATTTGTCAACCAAGCGCATTTTTTTGTGTATAAT